GGGGCAAATCACTATTATACCCTTTTTTTATTAAAAAAAAACGTATAGCCGGGCGGCTAAACTCTTTAAATATATACTAATATTTTAAATATTTACACGTCTTAAATACTCGATAAAATACATATTTTTTTAAATTCAAACATACAATACACGTATTGTACACTTAAAAATAAAATAAATATTATCGCTTCGCCACTCGGCTATACCTGGGAACCTTTTTTAAATATTTTTTAATAAATAGTGTAGCCGCACTCGCCGGAAAAAAAGGCACGATAAATACATAAATAGTATAGCCGCTCGGCTATACACATTAAATATATTTGAATATTTTAAAAGTATAGACGAGCGGCGATACTCTTTGAATATATACTAATATTTTAACAGTATAGACAAGCGGCTATACTGTTTAAATGTTCAAATATTTAAACAGTATAGCCGCTTGTCTATACTGTTAAGTTATATCTTAACCTTTTTCAATTACTTAAATTAGTAATTATCTTTAAATTTTTATTTATTTAGTGAATAATTAGTATTTAAATGTTTACTAATTTCATAAATTACTTAATAAATAGTAATTAATTATTTTATGGACTTTGTTTTTTAATTTGTTTTATACGAAATTAATTTGTTTAGCTTAATATTTCCAATTAAGTAATATCTTAGCCTTATTTAATTATAATAATTATTATTTATGTTTTAATTATTCCTTATTTAATGTATAATTGGTATTTAAGTATTTTTATTAATTTCATAAATTACGTAATAAATACTAATTAATTATATTTACTTGTCTTAAATAATTTTGTGGACTTTCAAATTATTTTAATTTCCTAATGTATTTTAGAAAGAGTTTCAATTATTATAAAATTATTTTAGTATTCCAAAAATGGATTTAAGCCTCCAAATGCTAAATCCAAGTCTCAAACCCTAACCACAAGACTACTATGGGGCACTTATGACTCAATTAGGTTTGGATACTCACATAACTCGACCTAGGATTTTACGATTACAGTTTCGATCTCAATATACTGTTAGTACGATATAACTGGACCTAACCCTAGTTAGTTGAGTGCACCTTGATGTAGATTTTACCAAATGCATTTGGTCAGTTAAACATTGAAGAGTATATTTAAAGAGCTTTTCCTCATTTTAAGAACGTTTTTGGTGTTTGGATTTTGAATTTCGTATTGGGTTCACATTGGGTCAAATATTTTGTTAGGGCGGATAAATGAGTGAGGATTCTAATAGGTTAAAGATCGATTATTTTCAATGCAAAATCAAAATTAAAAAAATTGTCTTCATTTGCAAATTTTCAACTTCTCTTATCTCCTATGGAATATATGGAAAGAAAATCAGTCCAAAGGTACAAAATTGTCCATTGAGTATGAGCAGGAAAGAAAATCCTCGCCTAGTCAGCTATTAATTAGGTGCAGATGATGTCGAATCATGTGGCCAATAACGCTATGATAAGTGTTTTCGGTGTTTGGATTTTGAATTTCGTATTGGGTTCACATTGGGTCAAATATTCGAGTAGGTGGATAAATGAGTGAGGATCCTAATAGGTTAAAGATCTTATTATTTTCAATGCAAAAAAGAAAAAAAAAAATTGTCTTCACTAGCAAATTTTCAACTTCTCTTCTCTCTTATGGAATATGTGAAGCAGTTATTCAAGCCCCAATAATACGTGGACGTAAACCGGTCCAAATGAACAAAATTGTCCCTTGGGTATGAGCGGGAGAGAAAATCCTCGCCTAATTAAGCATTAATTAGGTGCAGATGATATCGAATCATGTGGCCAATAACGCTATGACAAACGTGATAACACTTCCACTTAGCATATCATTATTAGTTGGGATAGCAAACTATCCCCATTGTAACTAAGTTTTTCTCCGCTGGCGAGGGATGCTTCCCCTACTAGGGTAAAGTGAGGCTTAGGCCCATCACATGTCCAAAAGCCTAGAAAGGTAAAAGGTCAAACAAGACTAACTAAGGGAAGTCTAGTAGGATCCATTCTTGGTCAATAAGCATCCGATAAGTTAGTTACAATCACATATTTCCATATCCATCACGACTAGTGAACCAAAGATCACACATATCCAAATTAAGTGATTAGCCTACGTTCCTAAGTTAAACAAGTAATTGACTTGATGTGTGGTCTTAATATACCAAATCAACGCACGACAAGTTGTCTCTCATGGCAATAAATCAACTAAGTTAACATCCATCTCATGGAGAAGGTTACTGTTCCTTGAACTAAGAACCCTACTACTTGCTTAGACTGCTTTTGCAAAGACTTGCGCATAAAATGTTTTTTTGACTCACACCACACCGTTGTGTTCAAATACTTTGAACGTATTTTCTTCTTGGTTTCAGGGCGCAAAGGTCCATTCAAATGACCAGAAAATTTATGTCCTTCATAATATTATAGTCTGGGTGATGAGAAATTGGATTGAAGATGAGTCAAAATCTGGATTTACATTGACGTTGTTTACTAAACTATATAAGTAAAAATGATATTGATTTCATGCAAGGTGGTGTTTCCTAATTTACTTGAATCGAAATTGAAATGAATTGAGTTACTAAAATTTCATTGTTGTTCAAAATTATATAGGGAGGGGATGGAGGAGGCAAAGCCGACCCAGTCCTTGTCCCATTGCCAACTCTTCTACTTACTATAATAACCTTAATCTTAAATAAATTATTTAAATAGTTTAGTATAATAATAGTTAACATTTTCCTATTTGTTTTTTTTTTTTTTTCACAAATAGGTTCATTCTAATATAACATTTTATACCAAAATCCTTGATGTGTTACTTATCATTTTCTAATTGGTTTTTAATATGTTATAATTTTATAAGAACCATTATAAAATGACAAGTCGCTAATTGGCTTCAGACAACTAAATAGCAAGGGAATACAGAAAGTTTAATTTTCCTTTTTTACATAGAAATTAGAGTTGCATGATTACATCATATGCGGAATACGACGCCGTGCTGCGTTTCTGTAGAAAAAGAAAACCAGATATTGGCCCGACCCGCATCAGCCCAACATTCATTTCCAGCGTAGCGAGACATGAAATCCGGGTCAGCTGTTCCGGGTCGGTAACCCAACGTGAGTAACGACCACAGTAATGAAAACAGGTCATACCTGTCATAATGGAGAGTGAAATTTCAGAAAATTGGACATCGCAATTTCCTCAGATCTTCGCAGCTGAACGCAGCAAATTGAAACCCTAGTTTTACTAATCCACCATAGTCATCTTCATCAGGTACCTACAATCTTCATTTTTCAGTTAATTCACTTTTAGAATCCACTAATCCGTCACTGGCATTACTAATTTCCATTCTCTAATCCGAAGCTCCGAAATGTGATTCGTTTTATGTTTACCAAATACCGACTTGTTCTACTTATTGTCGCCATTGTTGATTTCAACAGCATGATGTTAAGAAATTCTTAAAAAACAACTTAATTTGTGAAAAATAGCTGAATTTGATTTTCCTGGATCTATTTTTTATTTGTTTGTTTATTATAGTTTGGGGTTTATTGCATGGTATGGCAGGGTTTTGATGATTTGAATTGTTTGAATATGTTAGTGATTAATTTTCACTTGATTAGGAAATTGAGTGGAAATGCAGCACGCTCCAGCGACGATCGAGGAACAGTTGTTACTAAAAGCAATCAAAGAAGAATGTCCGTGGGAGAATCTCCCAAAACGGCTTCAAGTGACATTGTCTTCGAAAGAAGAATGGCATAGAAGGTTAGAGTAGCTGTTGTTTTTGCCACTGCTCTCTTTATTTGTTTAGTTCTACTTCTCAAAGAAATGTCTATAGAGGGTGGTTAAGTACTTCGGACTGTGAATGGATCGATATTCAGTTTCATGGTTTAATTTTATGTACTGGAAATGGAAGGACTTAAATTCATGCTTCATTGAAAAGTTTTGAATAATGTCTTAGAAGACAAATAAAAGTTAGATTAATGGGGTTTCATCCTTGGTTTCTGATGTTGGTTTGAATATGCTAACTCCGTGCAGGGTAATTGAGCATTGCATAAAGAAAAGACTCCCATGGAGCACTTGTTTTGCTCGAAAAGTATGCAAAGAAAGTGAATATTATGAAGACATGATGCGGTACTTGAGAAAGAATTTAGCGGTTCGTTTCTTACTTGGGAAGTTCATCAGAAGTCCTTTCCTTGAATTAGTCTGTGTTGCAGTGCATTGATAGTTTACATTCTACGGGAAGCCTCTTTCTTCTTGATAAGGAAAGAAGTACGCTAACTTTAGTTTTTTGGAGGCCAACTGGAGAAGCTGAACATTTTTAATATTCTTACTCTCTTCTCACTGTTTTGCATTTAATTTGGTAAAACTGTATTTGGGATATAACACCGTGAATTGGTAAGATTGTTCTTGTTGAACAACTAGGGTGACATCGCTGCTTAGCTTCATCCTTTCATTTTCATATGAAGTGAATTCAGCCATCTAAGCAATACAGCTTTTTTGACTTACAGCCTTATGTCATCTTATACCTCATATAGGTTTCTTATGTCATCTAAGCAATACATGTTAATTTCATTACTTGCAGCTATTTCCCTATCACCTTGCGGAGTATGTTTGCCGTGTAATGCGGGTATCGCCTTTCAGATATTACTGTGATATGATTTTTGAGGTTATGAAAAATGGTAATTTACCAAATCCTTTCTGCATATGTTGAAATCTGCTGCTATTTTACTGTTCTTACTGTGATTAGTATGAAAGTTTCTCTTAGAAAGTAGGCATGTTAGCTATTTTTCAATTTGCAACACTCTTATTAGTTAGAATAATTGTCTGATTGAAGGTATAGTTTGCGGACTCGGTCTGCAGGAGGAACGATGTGTATAAGTTTGTATTGGAACTACAAATTATTCTCTAATAATGCTTTCAAAGATTTAACATCCTGCATGTGCTGCTTATGTAGCATCAACTTAAATTATTGGAGAACTGAGGTTCAAACCTAACACAAGTTATAGGTCCCTTTTTAATGCATACTGGTTGTACTTTTTAGCTTCTATGTTGGAAAATTAAAAGCAGAAACTTGTCGTAAGGGTGTGAATTCGGCTGGAAGATGCTGCTTAAATGTGTATTAAGATCGTTTGTTCACTTGTTTTAATTAAATTACAAGTCTATGTATATGTAATTATATAGGTATATGAAAGGAATGGTATTACTTTAGTAACTAGGATTTGAAGTATCGGATACGTATCCAGAAAGTATCTGGGGGAGTATCTGTGCCTCATAGGGAATCAGATGAGGGAAAGTTGTCCGGAGATGATTGCAGTAGAGATGTAAAAAATGCAGTGGATGAGTTAAGATACGTTGAAAGAATGAAAGGTTCTTAGGGCCGATTGCATGGTATGTGGGTAAAAGTTGCAACAAAACATTAATATATTTTCTTATTAGAAGTCCAGGATTTCACTGTGAATATACCCTTCAATTACATTGAATTGAAAAAAAAAAGAAAAAAGGAAAAGAGATTCTGAACAATTACATTAAGAGTTTCTTTTCTGTAAACAAATTATGCATTGAGACGCTCACATATACTTTTAGCAGCTTATCCTCATTCTCATGCATATCACATTATTTGCAGAACAACCTTATGACAGCATCCCCAATTTTAGCGCTGCAGATGCCTTGCGGCTTACAGGGATAGGGAGAAACGAATTTATTGATATAATGAATAAGTGCAGATCTAAGGTATTAATCAAATTTGCTTGTTTCTTTATGGGTCATTTACTTGTTTATGGGCCACATTAAGGTGCACACATACCTGGTATGTGGATACAAATATTGCATGGCTACCTAGATACCCATAGAAGGTATCATGGTTTTCTAACAAATATCTGGAAAAGATTCCATACAAAGTCAAAATTTATGAATTCTTTGGCATATTTTAGAGCAACTACAGCCGGTAATTTAAGTCCTATTTATGCTAGACATACTGCTTCTTGGATTCTGTTTTATAACCTTATGATGGAAATGCAAATCCTTTACCTTCAAGATTGCTTTAAGGCCATGGTTAAGCTTACTTTATAAAGGGTAACTTTGTATTGTCTTACCTGCTGTTTACTTTATTTTGAGCTATCCAGAAAATTATGTGGAAGCTGAACAAGTCAATTGCAAAAGAGCTTTTACCTACACAACCCGTGGATTTTGCAATTGATCCATGGTGGGGAATTTGTCTTGTGAATTTCACACTGGAAGAATTTAAGGTGAGATTTGAGAACCCAAATTACAGTGAATGCTTAACAGTGTCATCCTATTGAAAAATTGCCAAACGGCAAATAACACTAGTGATGTGCTTTTTGGCCAACCTTACAGTAACTCACTGTCTTTGTAGAAACTCTCGGAGGAAGAAATGGCAACAATAGATAAAATATGTAAAGAGGAAGCAAATTCATATATCCTGTTCGATCCTGATATTGTCAAGGGTCTTCACCAACGAGGATTAATATACTTTGATGTCCCTGTTTATCCTGATGATCGTTTCAAAGGTGAGTTGTATGGATGAACAGTTGACTTGCAAATTCTAGTGTCTCTGATTTTATCTTTGTTTACTGCCTTGTTTCAAATGCTTTTGAGCCCCCTGTTTCAAACACTTTTACCTTCTGAAACATACACCGATGGTTTATGGTCATGGATCAACTTTTTTTTTTTAAACTTTTAAATTTTGTGTTGCCATTATATTCTTCGTTTTTCGAGTCTCTTTACAATCATATATACTAATTGTTGTGTCTGTTTGAAGTTCATATAAATCCTGCACTTCTCCGATACTTACATTTTATCTTTACAAGTACTTGGTGAAGCCCAAAATTTTGACCAAATCTAATTCAAGTTTTACCAACATTTTTACAAGTACTAGATGAAATATTAACAATTTTTGTGGTCCAGTTTCCAGGCTTGAAGGGTTTGTTTCCAACAGGGAGCAGTCTTACGAAGATCCTATAGAGGAGTAAGGCAGTTGTTTAGTACGAAGATGCCTTTTAATTGTCAATTTGTTATTTGAATTTTGTTTACTGGCTGTGAAACCAGGATCTTAATACTCTAAATTCTATTATTCAGGTTACTATATGCAGTTTTTGTTGTTTCAAGTGAGCATGCAACTGTTGCCGAACTGGCAACAACATTACAGGCTGACCTTGCACAACTGCAGGCTGCTGCGTCTTTTGCATGTCGATTGGGATGGGCAGTAAAAGTATTTGATCCAGCATCTGTTCTTCGAGATACAAGTTTACCTGGATCTCCTAGAAACAGTCTCAGTGATGAAGATGCTTCTCGTCGTAGTATAAGCTCAGCAAATATGTTTGCTGATGGTGATGCTAGTCTACAAGGAGATGTTTCAGGGACAGAAAACTATGGCCTAAGTTCTTTGCATGATCGCGTTGCGTTTGTTGTTGATGCTAACATAACATCCTATCTTATGATGGGGTCTGTTTCACCAGGTTTGTTTCTTCTTCTGAAGGCCAAATTTGTTTATTATGTTGCATATCATCAACTTCTGATCTGCAACCTGAATCTTGCTGACATAGTAGTCACTTGGATGAAATAGATAAGGAGGCTTGTATCTGCAGTTGTTATTGAAACTTTACCTTAAGACAGATATCAATGTCAAGAAGAAGTACCGGCATATTGGATGCAGTAGGCCACAAATACATAAAATAACGAGAATATGATCTAGAACCTCTTCTTTACAGATGCTCTACCAGTTCCATAGGAGCTCTCAGCCGCTACAGTGCCCCTTACAATTTCTCTTTTATGTACTGGTTTACCTTGCAGTGGCACTACAACTTTCACAAAATCCTTTTTTTTGGGTCCTAAACTTTATTGAAAAATTACCATAGAGGTGATAGTCTTTCACAAGCTCCAATAATCTGGTCGGCTTCTCAAGCAAAAGAGGTGGAGGTTATTCTCCTTTAGATGGACTGTGCTTAAGTTAGGAAGTGATATAGACTTCTCCCAGAACCTGCTTACACATGGGGAGACAGGCTTTCTGGAACTTAACTATAATTTTTGCTCGATCAGCTTCCTAAAAGTATTTATATACTGTTCAGATCGATGCTTGAACATTTTAGCAGCATTCTGCAATTGTTTCAAACTTGAATCTTTTACATGAGTCTTATATTTATTTTGTTTTCTCAAATTTTCTTCTAGGTTTGAAATCTCATGCTGTAACGCTTTATGAAGCGGGAAAGTTGGGTCATGCTAGCATTACGGATCTTTGTAAGGATCTGAGTACACTAGAGGGAACAAAATTTGAAGGAGAACTACAGGAATTTGCAAATCATGCATTTAGCCTCCGTTGTGTTCTGGAATGCCTTCAATCAGGAGGAGTTGCAACTGATGTGAAAACAGATGAAGTTTGCAATAACATGGATATGATAGCTTCAAACAACGATGAGGCCACACTCATAGCTGATGTAACTTTGACTGAAAAATCAGGTCACTTGACTGGGCAAGAAGTTGGGTTCGATGATGATGTTTCTGTGAAATCAGGGATGCCCCAGGAAGGTTCTGTTTTGGCTGAACCTGTTAGTGATAGAAGTGATGAAATAATAATTGGTACTTCATCAGAAGATAGCACCAGCTTAACTGAAGTCCCTAAATCAGACTTGAATCCGCAGAGTAATGAGAAACAGGTGCGTGATGAAGGGTCAGATGTTGGAAAAGAAATGTTAAAGAGGAAAAATAAATTCCGAGTGGATATCCTTCGCTGTGAAAGCTTGGCGTCTCTTGCACCAGCAACTTTAGATCGGTTGTTTCGTCGCGACTATGATATTGTTGTGTCTATGATTCCTCTTCCACCTTTGTCAGTACTTCCTGGACCAGCAGGTCCTTTTAATTTTGGTCCTCCCTCTTATTCATGCATGACACCTTGGATGAAATTAGTATTGTACTCAACTGTGGCCTGTGGACCTCTATCAGTTATTCTGATGAAAGGACAATGTTTACGCTTGCTTCCTGCCCCACTGGCTGGTTGTGAGAAAGCCCTTTTGTGGTCTTGGGATGGTTCTACAATTGGAGGTTTGGGAGGCAAGTTTGAAGGAAATCTGGTAAAGGGAAGCATACTTTTACATTGTTTAAATTCACTTCTTAAATACTCTGCCGTACTAGTGCAGCCCCTCAGTAAGTATGACCTTGATGAATCTGGAAGAATCATCACTATGGATATTCCATTACCCCTAAAGAACTCTGATGGTTCAGTTGCTTGCATAGGGAAGGAATTGGACATGTGCGAGAAGGAAAGTTCAAAACTGAATTCTCTGTTAGTTGATTTGACAAGCAAGATAGAGTTGTGGACAGTTGGCTATATTCGCTTGTTGAAACTTTTTAAAGAAAGAGATTCAGAGCACTTTGCACCTGATGATGAGAAGTTTGAATGGGTCCCATTGAGTGTAGAATTTGGGATGCCACTGTTTAGTCCAAAATTATGCAATAATATATGTAAAAGAGTGGTCTCATCGCAATTACTTCAAAAAGATTTACTCACTGAACATCACGATGCAATGCAAAGCTTACGGAAAAGGTTGCGTGATGTTTGTGCAGAGTACCAAGCAACAGGTCCTGCTGCTAAACTTATTTACCAGAAAGAGCAATCAAAGGACTTTTCACGACATCTCATGAATTATGCAAGTGGAAGGTGGAATCCACTTGTCGATTCTTCTTCTCCCATTTCAGGAGCCTCGAGTGAGCATCAGAGACTCAAACTTGCTAACCGACATCGTTCCCGAACTGAAGTTTTGAGCTTTGATGGAAGCATTCTAAGGTCTATGTCAAGCTTCTCTATTCTCCTTTTGCATCCCATTTCCTTTCCCTAACATCTATTTGTTTACTATTTCAACCAGATTTTTGTTTTTACAGTATTTACTTTTTACTATATGAACAATGTAACTTTCACTGGATAATGCATTTTTATGTTTGTGTGTTTTTTTGGACACATAGATGCTTCTCACTTACACGTCTCTTAAAAGTAATGGATTTACCCTTATAAGGAATAATAAATTATCTACTTGTTTATTAATAGTATTCAGATGATATTCTCTATCTTCTTTGTATATGATTGTGTTCAATTTGTTGGCTTTAAATTCTTAATTACTGCTGTTCAGATCATATGCTCTAGCTTCTTTGTATATGATGGTATTCACAGAACTTGCTCTAATCCCTTTGTATTTACTGGTATTTAGATCATATGCTCTATCTCCTGTTTATGAGGCTGCCACAAGGCCTGTTGAAGAAGCCCCTCCAGTTAGCACTACAAAAGTTGAGCAAGAAGAAGCTGACAGCAGAGAAGTAGTCCTTCCTGGTGTTAATCTTGTTTTTGATGCCTCTGAGTTGCACCCCTTCGAGATAGGTGCTTGTCTACAGGCTCGTCAACCAGTCTCATTAATAGCAGAGGCAGCAGCTGCCTCTGCAGTTATTCAACAAAGTAGGGCTTCATGATAGAATCTTGCTTGGATGGCATATATAGAAGAATTCATCACGTTACTAGTGAGTAACAATTAGGAATTGTCATGTCCTTCACGCTTGTTTTATTCTGATTAGTTGGCTCGTCTGCTCATCTTTGAGGTTGGTCAATGCGCATCAGCTACAGCTTTGTTCAAAGGTAAATACCAGGAGTTTCTTATTGATTAATGTAATTAATTTAATGACTAGTAATCTTTCCAGATGAGTTCCAATAAAATAAAATAAAATAAAATAAAAATCTCTGCAGGTATCTCTTTAATTCCTGATTGTGCTTGACATAACTGTCACAAATGACCTGTGTAGTTAGTATTCTTGTAGAATCACGATTTTATTTTCAAACCTTAAATTACTTTTTTTTCTTCTTTTGGGACAAAATGACAGCTTCAGTAGTCAAATCTGATCTATCTTCAATCTACTTGGATTGCTTTGACAAGGACCATTTTTTGTTTTGCTTTTTAAAAGAAGTTAAAGGCGTTGACCTGTGCTACTTTAAAGATACAGGCTTTAAAATTAGTTTCCTGATTCCATGTTCTGGCTCTTTTTAGCTGCCTAGTAAAAGACCTAAACTGAGTAGTTTGGTGATGAGGTAAGAACATCTGATTGTATTGCCCCTCAAATTTATTTGCAGACTTTGTGAGACTTTGTGAGACAACTTTATGTTGAAGTGCATGGGCCCTCATTTGAAAAAAAAGAAGATTAAATTAAAATTCTTTGCTGTCATCAAGTGCAAAGCTCTTGAGTTGAGCATCTGAAAACATTATTTTTTGTCTATGAAGTAGTACTGACTGGAAAGGTTTTCCTTTCTGAAACTGACTACCTCTGTAAGTTTTCCCCTCTTGCTTTGCCCAATATTGATTCATATTTTATTACGTCTCATAAATCCTCCTTTCCTAGGTCTATTGTCTTTTTGTTTCTATTATAATTTCACTTTCTTGATACCTGTTATATTAATGCAGGAAGGCGTTTTCGTACAAAACTTTGTCAGATTATGGATACACCCCGGGTTTGTAACTACAGTGAAAAGAATATATGGTTTTGCTTAAATATATACTTAATTGGACATGGTGCTTAGATCCTGGTGATTTATACCCACCAATTAAACAATACACACTTTTGTTTCATATTACTTTCCTTTATTCTTTGTTCTTTTAGGGAGGTGGGGATAAAAAATGATGCACATTTATTTCTGCAATTTTCATTAATACATGAAAGTATTCTTGAGGAAAGAAAAGAAAAAGGCATTGTGTGGTAAAATTGCTCTCGACTTCTTATGTGAGTTTTTCACTGTGATAAGTTCACACAAGTCACACTTGTAGACAAAATGATGTGGTGAAAAATGATGAAGAATGTCTTTTCCTTTTTTATTTTTGGAAGAAGTTCACTCATGGACCTCTTCTTTCAAGTGGGGCGAAAATGGAAAATTGATGTTAGCTAATTATGGTTGGAAAAATGTTTATTTATTTGGATGAATTCGTGGTAGAAATAAATGTATATATTTTATTGTTATGCTTGTAAGTAACACCAAATAATACCAGCCTGTGTGTTTTGTTTATTTTGGAAAGATGACAATTAAGCAGAAAAATTGTTTCTTAAGGTTATTTCTAGGGTGATTTATAGTTTGTAATAGTTCAACTCATCATACGATTTAGCATCTATTTTTGTTTTTATTATTTTCTTATGTTTTTCTAGATGGCTTCAATTTCCTGCAAAAAGGTATTGTCAAGTGAGTAGGGTCTGAGTCCTCTTCCAAGAACATGGTGTTCTGTTCTTACCGTAACATGTTCAATTGTCTTCTATGGAGGTTCTATAGTTTGAAGTCTAAAAGATTGACATCCCACGCTAAACAGCGTTTTGTAGACAATGAGCTTGAGCTACATGTTTCGTTTTTGCTCCCGATTGCCTTGCCATTGATCCATTATGCCATGCATCAAAGAAGATGAGGATGATCATATGTTAGGCTTCAATTGTTGATTAGCAAATCCGAAAGAATCTGTTTTAGTGCTTGATGAGGGAGCTTGTATAACGAGGGGCTATGTTGAGGGGTTACAATGAGGGGTTTAATCCAATAGTCCAATAATAACTCTGCATTGGATTGGATGGCTATTAAGGACCCCCTCATTCTAACCTTTCTAGCTTATTCTAACCTTTCTAGCTTAATGATTACATCATTACGCATGAGGGAAAGCTCTTTAATTTTAGTCATCAAATGAAACGATAGGGTATTACTTGGACATAAATGAGGTTAACAGAGAGACTAAATGTGAATAAATGAAAGGTGACATCTTTTTGGTATCCGTACTTTTGAGATTTGTTTGGGCATTTCTAGCATTAAGCAGTTCAATAATTCTCTTTTTAACGTGAAAAGATGTCACAAATCCGAATTCCTTGGTGTCGGTAAGTACTTTTCAATCGCATAACTAGCTAATCAGCACAAACAAACAAGAAGATATTAAGAAGAAAGATCATCAAATCACAGTGGCAGGGCCGTCGATCGAACCAGATCCACGAGGGGGATGTGATATCTTAACTAAAGATTATGAAACACGTGTCCCGCGCAGCATCAAACTTGACCCAACTCTCTCGTATCCGTTCACGTGGCAGACGTGAAAAGGCATCGCGCTTCTATGCCGCACTTGGTAGTTGTACTTTATCCCCATACACTCCTCATTAACCAGAAAGCGTAAAAATACAAACTCTCACTTTCGCTTCCAGACTTTCCACTCTTCCACTTCCAGCTTCCATTCCATGTAGCTGAAAAAACGCTTAAAGGTCCTCCCTTTTTGGTTCTTACCTTCTCAAGCCACCATCTTTCTCTGGAATTCGATTCCCTTTGGGTTCAATATTCTTTCAGAATTTCAGAACTTTTATCATCATCAGTCCATAAAGATCACAAAATGCTTAGAACCCCACATTGGTACGATTCACATGTTGCTAAGTTCCCTCTCTTTGCATCACCCTTCTCATCGCACAATGGCTCTTCATGTACTGTAGCTTCTCCTGTCCCTGACATGGGGTAATTTTTCTCTACATCTCTGTTTTCTTCTTTTTGTGTATTGTTTCCTCTCATTGTAGTCTAACAGGTTCTTAATGATGCACATGATTGAATTTTCAGTTTAATGGTTTGGATTTCCATTTCTGCTCCTTATTAAGTTCTTGGAGTCCGTTTTAAGGAATAAACTTTGGTGGGTTTTTGTTTTAACTTAATAAATTTGAGTACTTTCAATTTTCAAGTTTAAAAATATCATGGAATTCTACCAAAATGTATTTGCAGCAGTGAAACTCTGCGTATTTTAGTAGTATACTGTATAGTGATAATAAATGATAGGACATGGTGAAAGTGTTGTCTTCTAAGCTGGAATGACTAGTTTGATGTTATGGCGCTATTTTGATTTGTGAAGAACCAATTGGATTATTGTTGATTTGTTTGTTAATGTTTTATTAGATTGAAGTTGAGTAAACAAGTATCGGGTAGCAATCAGCAAGGAATTGCCAGAAAGGCACGTTTATCTTTCTATAATGCAATGAAATCAACCTTCATATTTTAGTTTTTCACTCTTATTGATTATATGGTTGTACTTTTGGCATAGGTTAGACCCGGGATTGTGTCAATCATAGAACAGCTAATGCTTACGGTCAGCGTGCTCAAGAACGTGTACTTGAGGTAATTCTTATCATGTAGGATCATATGTTTTACCTTATTTATTTTCTGACTGAAACTTCCAGATTATGTAAGAAATTAGTAGACTGTAGACATAATTAATTACATTCACAAACGCCATAAGACCTCTACCATTCAGTGGTGGTTTCCATCTAAATGTCAGATCAAGAAAATGATCAATGATTTATTCCGTAATCTCCTTTTTCTTACCATACCGGAATGGGAGCATTCAACGTTTTCATGTGTTCACCATTTGTGATTATAGGACGAGGCCCCCCAAATGTCAGAGACTAGTCCATCATGGAAAACTTTTCCAGGTCAAGCTTTTCCGCTGGGTGTATCAGAAGTTGACAGTGGGACTAATTTTGCTATATTTTCACAGCATGCAACTGCTGTCACACTTTGCTTATCACTTCCAGAGAGGTGACACTGTATTTCCATTTAGTTAATTGGTTAATATTCAATTGTTGACAGTCATATATGTGTGTGTGTGTGTGTGTGTGTGTGTATAAATGTATTCAGGGCATATTCTCTTGTCATAGATCAGGTATGCTATTGTAGAGAAAGGTTTTTTAGGCGCCCTTGAAAATACTTATCTTTGGATATTTCTTCTCTCTCTCAGTTTCCAAAATTTGTGGTTTGGACTGGGGCTAAAATAGGACTGGGAGGTGTTTGGTACTGTGAATCATCATCTCTCTTAAACGAAAAAAAAAGTACAGAATCATCTTTTCAATCTTTGCCCTCCTTATTTATATGGATTTAGCTCTGATTCATAAGGCAGCCATTTCTTCCCTTGCTTCCTGTTCAAATCATTGAGACATTTCTTAAATTAACTTTTTGAAGGAACTAGAGTGATGGAGATTCTGAAAAATTTTCAGATGATTTTTCACAAAACGACAAATTCTCCTTGAATCTGAGCCAGTCTGATACAAGATATTCGTCTGTTCATGCTTTTGGGACATTTTCTGTGAATCCTTTTTTCATTATATGGTAGAAGATACTTCTTCTCAAGTTTTCGAGTCATATAAGATGATTTGAAAGGTTGGTGTACTCAACAAAGGGCCAATTCTTGCATGGTTGGTGGCTACTTGTGAGTCTGTGACCTGCTCCAAAAATGAAGACCCTTTCTGTATCTCCACGTTGTGTTGTGTAAAGCAGAGGAGGAGAGTGCTCTTCATTATATATATTGTATACTGTTTTTTTGTGCATTGTCCATCAACTTCGTCCACAACGAAAATCTGGGTTAGGTTCATGCATATTTGTAGTGGTCTGGCTTTGGCCTAGAAATTTGTTGGTGGAATATTACTTAATATAGGGGCTAACAAAAGGACAATCATCGTTCGGTGTAGTTCGGAGTCAGTCACAATGTGGGTGTTTGGTGAAGAAAAAAAATAGTGCAATTGATAATAAGGTGGATGAAGTTTGCCTTTATTTGGAACTAACATGTTTTTTTTAAACTTCACCTGGGCATCTTTGTCTTGATTAGAGGGAGCTTTGACCTGAGTGCAATTTAGTTTCTTGTTTAAGTTCAGACTGTAGTTTCGTTTTAGATGGACATCATCTCCACCCTTTTTGTAGACACTCTTTTTTTAATAAAGTTTTGTTTCATATAAAAGAAAGTCTGTCTTTCTAATGCTCAATTTGTTGTACTAGCTATACTTCAGTACTAGCTGTAAATACTACTTGTCAATTCTCATACCTGTAATTAATTGATGTGAAGGTTTTCAAGTTTATTGTTCTTGTGATCTTTTCATTTTTTTTGTTTGAAGTTTTCCCCAGACTCATGCTCTCATGAATATAATTTTTGTCAAGGAAAGGCTTGGAAGGGTGGATGGTGGAATGATGGAGTTCTCTTTGGATCGTAATGTAAACAAGACAGGTGATATTTGGCACATATGTATCAAGGTAATATTTGATTTGGGTTGTAACTGATTTTTTTTTTATAATTTTTTATTTATTTATTTAGGTTGCTCAAATCACTACCTTTCATTGTGCTGTCTTTTGTTTAAAGATCTCTTTTTACTCTACATGCTAGCAACTTTGTGCGTGTCATCATTGCTCAATCCTTCTTTGAGATGGTCTCCAAGAGCTGAAGCTAAATCAGACCTGCATATGGACTTTTACTTCCCGTACTGTCACATTCTCAAGCCTTCATAATAACCTGCATGGTTCAAAACACATCATAATTTTGAATTAAAACTACTAGAAATAAGAACCCAAGATTATTAAGTTAAAGAAACTGAATGAGGACAACTAAATCCTTTAGAGGCCAAAAGCCTAGCTGCCTATCATTCACCAATGATCAAAAGACGGCATGTCTGAACTTTCCTTTCTGGGACAAAATCTTTCTTTGTCTCCCTCTCCCTCTCTCTCTTCTTTGAAAATGGCAATATATCTCCTGATGTAGTTGTCATCACTCATGATAATGAAATTATATCTTTACAGGATTTGCCCCGGAGCAATGTTCTCTATGGTTATTGTATGGATGGGCCACGAGGTTGGCATGAGGGGCATCGATTTGACAGCAGAGTTGTGCTTATAGATCCGTACGCGAAGCTAGTTGATGGCCGCCGGTTTTTTGGAGATAGCAGCAAAAAGTTTTCTAAGTTTCTTGGAACTTATGATTTCGATAGCTTGCCTTTTGCTTGGGGAGACAACTACAAGCTCCCAAATATACCTGAGGTAAATAAGTTTCTATATATGTTTGTCATGCAGTAAATAGGATAAATTGTTGTCTTGACACATTTGTTCAATCAGATTGGAATTCTCTCTCTCTCTCTCTCTCTCTCTCTTCGACCACATCTTATGGTTGATACGAAAACTCATAACTGAATATATAAATATATTGTGTTATTTTTACCATATGCGTCCATGTACTCATGGGTGATAGGAGTTAATTCTCGTTTTTAAAATTATTTTCCTTTGTTTTTTTGGGCCAAATAAAAATTTGATGCTTTATCTTGTTACATCTTAACCTGTATGTTTCCTGCTGCATTTTTCAGAAGGATCTTGTTATATATGAAATGAACGTTCGTGCATTTACGGCCTCTGAATCCAGTGGTCTGGATCCAGATATTCGTGGTAGCTACCTTGGTGTGATTGAGAAGGTAATAGTAGATTCTAGCAAGATGAATGACAATATAGCATCTGCTGATACAAAAGTCCAATATTTTTGGTCAATTATCTGAATACTCCCTTCAACTCTATTCTTCTTTATCTTGGTTTTATAACAATTTTGGATGTGTTTCTAGCAATTTCAATTGTTTTTATTTTATTTTCAAGCAACACTTCAGAATTGTCAGAAAACTAGAACCGGTTGATGGTAGGGAGCTACCTCTGGAAACACATATATGGATTTCTTAGGTTTTTATTTACTACCTCATAACTGCTTGTTTAATCATTAGGGTAACTGCTCTTTTAATCATCAAAAACTTAGGATTTGGTTTAAATATTATAGTTGATTGAAGTGATGCCCAATTACCCATAGGTGCAGGCAATAAAAATTTAGTTTCTTGCTAAATTGTTCTGGCTGGACACAGTTTCCATGAGACAAGACTAGTGAACTTCTATCCCTTCAGATGAAATGGTCTAAGGGGGCTTGGACTCTAATGTTCTGAAAGAAATAATTTACAATGTGAATGCATCTAGTGCTTTCTCACATGAAATGATGTGTGGCAAGTTGAAGACAAATCATGAATAATGACAATCATTTAACATTCTTTGAATAGAATAATAGCTATTTAATTGTTTTGATATGATGGACTTCTCTGACGTTTTTCCCTCCATTTTAATTCTAAGATTCCACACCTTCAAGAGCTTGGCATAAATGCAGTGGAGTTGCTGCCTGTCTTTGAATTTGATGAGTTTGAGTTTCAGAGGCGACCAAATCCTAGAGATCACATGGTAACTAAACCAATTGCTCCTGTTTTCAACTGAAATGTTTATATAAAACACGTAACAGTAATTATTTCGATTGAGCTCTGAAAAAGCCGAGTGATCTAATTTACCAATGTCTCTGAAGATAAATACATGGGGCTACTCAACAATAAATTTCTTTGCTCCTATGAGCCGCTATGCAAGTGATGGTGGAGGACCCCTTAAAGCTTCCCAGGAATTTAAACAAATGGTTAAAGCCTTGCATGGTGCTGGGATAGAGGTAAATTACATCTTTTTACAAGGTTCCTGTTATTGCAGTTTTGAAACCATATTCTTTATTGTACAGGTCATTTTGGATGTTGTCTATAATCATACTAATGAAGCTGATGACGCCAACCCTTATACCACTTCATTTCGTGGCATAGATAATAAGGTGATGCTTAATTATTGTGCTTTTTAGGGCAGAGTTTAGTATGGCTTTAAATCTTTTATTTAATTACAACTTCTTTAAAACACTGGGATTTTATTTTTCAAAATAAAATTTTGTATGAATAAATATTAGATTTTTCTTTATAAATGACGCATCCTGCATCTACAGGTTTATTACATGCTGGACCTAAACAACAATGGCCAATTACTGAACTTCTCTGGTTGTGGTAATTCAATCGTCTTTCCTGACTGTCTTCTCACCCCTTATCTCTTCTTCTAAAGATATATATTAAGTGAATTTCCTACTCCCTTCTATCAATTGTCTATCTTGTATGAAAATGCTGATGGTGCTTTCCATCCATTTCTTACAAATGAAGTATGTTTCGTCTTTTATTGCTGGTATGTTTATTTTGCATGAAGTGAGGAAAAGTTTATGGGATGGTTATATAAGCTGTACTGGTATGTTTATTTCTTATATGATATGAAAATGGATATGTCAATGAAGAAGGGAAGGTATATGTATTTTACTATAAATGAAACTTAATAGAGAACAAACTTTTTGGACTTTACTGCTGGATTCTGGAAGCAAAACAGGATTGGTTTTTCTCTAAAATGAAGGTTAAAACTATTATTGTTAGCATATGAAGGTCTAAGGTTTTTTCTGCTGGTTTTCAGGGAACACATTAAACTGTAACCATCCTGTTGTCATGGAGCTCATAATGGATAGCTTAAGACACTGGTAAGGACACGATTCATACATTGTCTTTATTTGTTAATTTAAGTGATGAATAGATAGTTCATATCAAGCTTCATACTTCCTCTTTTGTTACCATTTTCAGGGTCACTGAATATCATGTGGATGGATTTAGATTTGACCTTGCCAGTGTTCTTTGTCGAGGAGCGGATGGAAGTCCGCTTAGTGCACCACCAGTTATTAGGGTAAGCTAAGAAGCATGGATACGCCAATTTAGTGGCGTATCCCGTATCGGATACTTGTTTGGATACGATAGTCCGATACGCATTGGATACGTATCGCAGTCAACGGATACGTTAGTTGACTAACGGATACGCGTATCTGACATTCCAGACACGAGTATCTGACTTTTCGGACACGTTCCTCCGGGCGAAGTTTGCCGTTGAGGGGCTGGGCGCTGAGTGTGAAGAGGGAGAGAGAGAGAGAGAGAGAGAGAGAGAGAGAGAGCGGTGCGCACGAGGAAGAAGAAGATGTCGACTGACCTAATTTCTATTGTCTCAAGTGACGACGTCGTTTGCTAATACAGGATTTGTAATATATATATTTTTCATAGATCTGTTTATGGGTTTGGGTCTTAAGCAATAGGATTAAAATGGGCTTTGGGTGGGTGAAAAAAGCTATACATGCCTAAAAATATAAAGAATCAGTAAAGAAAGCCCAAAATGCTACACTATATTTATAATTTATAATTTATTATTTATTTAAAATTTTGTTTTAAGTTATATATATTTATTAATATATATTTTTAATAACCGTATCCATGACGTATCGTATCCTAGTTTTTGGAAATTTACCATATCCCCGTGTCGTATCGTATCGCCGTATCCGTATCTGTGTCCGTGCTTCTTAGAGGGTAAGTCATTAATGTTTTTGTTTGGATGGTTGACAGTAGTTTGATTTATCTAGCGTAGTGTGCATACATTCTCTCTATGTATCTAATTGCAAAATCAAGATCTTGGTTATTATGAATTTCTAAAGATATCCGTTGTTACTCATACACTTACAAGTTTGTGGTCAATGGTCATTGATATGATGCATTACCTGTGAGTTGTGAATTATGTTCTCGCGTAAAGATTCTAGAAGTTCAGTTGTGTGAGGATTGACTTAGTGTTCTTTGTTGGACCAGGCTATTGCAAAAGATTCCATCCTATCAAGATGTAAAATTATTTCCGAACCTTGGGACTGTGGGGGCCTTTATCTCGTTGGAAGATTTCCAAATTGGGACAGGTAATCTATGCTACAAGTTTACATTTCATCGTAGTGATATGGGAGAGACTGTTAGCCTGTTATTGAATGATATTTATCGTTAATAAAAGTTATTTCCCTTCTAAAAGAAAAGGGGACATGCCGCTATTCTAGCCTCTTTTAGACTTAACCTCTGATTTTGTGCTTTTTGTCTTCCTGTCTCTTTTGGGAATTATCTGACTTGTCAGGAAAGAGTTATAATTCATCATCTCCATCAAAAGGATGATTCTTATTGAACAATATGACAATCTAATATAATTAAAAGAAGATAAGGATACTCGTTGCATCACTTAACAAGTCTGTAAAACTGGATGGGAGCATATGATTCTATAAATAAAGTTCTTGTTTTTTATCTGACTGATTTTATAAATAAACTAGGATTCTAAGTAATGGAGTAGTTAAAAGATGACATGTAATCAAGTAACATTGGAAGGCTTGCTCCTGTGGAAGTTTGGATTGTTCAACTCCATTACTTATGAGATTCCTTTAAATGCAGGTGGGCAGAATGGAATGGGAAATACCGTGATGACTTAAGGAGATTTATAAAGGTATTTCCATGAGATGATAATTGTATTGCTTAGATGGGTCTATAACTTATTCACACTGTTAACCTTAATGCAAAGTAAAAGAACCGATGTAAAAGCAAACATTGAAGTCTGTGTATAGACTATGGTTCACAGGAATCTCCTCTGTATCCAAAAAAGGGCTGAATTTGATGATGAAGGGTGTGCATAAATGTGAATAGGTTTTCAGTTAATTAGGTCAATGGATATTGTTTGAAGCTTTGTTATAAACTGATGCAATTGGATGAATTTCGGTAAGATAAAATTCTATTCAGTGTCTTGATATTTCAATAAGACGAGGTTGTTAGTTGATTCTTTCTCTCGAGTCTTGACTAATATCAACTTTCTTTGAGCATTGCATTTATAGCGTGCCTCTTTTTCCTGGCATGATCTTAACCTTTTTATTATTGTTATTATTTCAACCTTCTCAGTTCCACTTTCTTGATTCTAATTGTGTGGTTTAGCGGAACTAAAGCACATTTAGATTTTAAATTCCATAAATGCACACAGATATACGTATATGTACGTCTATATAATATATATAAATATGTATTCCTGTTTTTCAGATCTTTGGTTAAATTTTCTTTATACAGGGCGACTCTGGTATGAAAGGAAGTTTTGCAACTCGTGTTTCTGGATCTGCTGATCTTTTCAAAGTAAGCATTAGTTTTTTCATTAATATGGCTGTATCGTGACTATTGACCATTTAATCCCATTTCCGTGTTTTTTGACTATCAATTTGGTATTATTGATGTCCGCCATGCAAACTTGTTAAGCAGGCCTCATTGTACATATTTTTATTTCCAACTGGGTTAATACTCCCAGCTTAGAAAATAAACTAAGTTGAACTTGGAGATGGTTTACTTGGTTTGAGAACTTATTGCTCAAGTTCGACTGGAATAACCCAATTACAATCAAAAGGATCGAATGCCTTATATTTCATGTTTAGGTAGCCCTGCATCTTTCTTGTTTGTACAGTAACCCAAAACCCTCATGTCTTATGATGGTACCTGTCAATATCATAATCTGGATCTTGAATTATTTTACTTGGTCCTGATCAAAATCTGTGAAATATTTTTGGCTTCTCTTGAATGTACTATTATCCGGTAACAAACATCTAGCTTCCATCTTATTCTTTATTATTAGCAATATGTTTGGCTGAAAGTCTGTATCAGTGTTTTACCTCTTTTTTGGTAAATACAATTTGTTGTTCTTAGTAATCTGTGCTGCTGCTACATTCAATGGAAGCTCTAGTTTCATGCTCTCATAATTTTCACTCACTCCACAGGTGAATAAGCGCAAGCCTTATCACAGTGTTAATTTTGTTATCGCGCATGATGGGTTCACACTATATGATCTTGTTTCATACAATTTCAAGGTACTTTAACATTTTTAAGCCATCAGTTTGTCATTTATTGAAGCCTGTGTCATGCAGTCTTTCCCTTGATTGTTGGTTTTGTAGCACAACGATGCTAATGGAGAAGGAGGAAATGATGGAAGTAATGATAATTTGAGCTGGAATTGTGGTTACGAAGGTAGGGCTAAACTTTGATGCTTGCTCCTTGATATATTTTGTAATAATTCTAGCTTTAATGTACAAATTACAAGCACTGTATTGCATGAGATAACAGTTCTTTCAGACATGCTATCAAGGATCCTTACTGAATAACTTATGTGTTATCTCTTAGTCTGTTACATCATACTGTTCTCCACTTTGTCATCTTGACTCCTTACTGAATAACTTATGTGTTATCTCTTAGTCTGTTACATCATACTGTTCTCCACTTTGTCATCTTGACTAATATGGTGTATCAAGTTGTGAAAATCAAGTAAATGCACAAAACTGTTAGTGTCTTTCTATTTCTATCTGCAAAGCCTTGTAGTGCTGGTTCTACATCTGATCTTGACTCCTTACTGAATAACTTATGTGTTATCTCTTAGTCTGTTACATCATACTGTTCTCCACTTTGTCATCTTGACTCCTTACTGAATAACTTATGTGTTATCTCTTAGTCTGTTACATCATACTGTTCTCCACTTTGTCATCTTGACTCCTTACTGAATAACTTATGTGTTATCTCTTAGTCTGTTACATCATACTGTTCTCCACTTTGTCATCTTGACTCCTTACTGAATAACTTATGTGTTATCTCTTAGTCTGTTACATCATACTGTTCTCCACTTTGTCATCTTGACTAATATGGTGTATCAAGTTGTGAAAATCAAGTAAATGCACAAAACTGTTAGTGTCTTTCTATTTCTATCTGCAAAGACTTGTAGTGCTGGTTCTACATCTGACAAAAAGTCTGTGTGCTATCTCTTTGGTCTATCAAAGCCCTAGATCTGCTGTTGTTTGTCATCTTCGCTAACTTCCTGAATTCCTAGGTAGTGTAAGTTTTAGTGTCATAACTCGGAAATGAAATAAAATTTATACGAACTACAGTGATAGTATCAAGTAGTGATGAACTTTCCATGTTTATGTATATTTATGTAAAACCACAGCAAACAAAAGATGGTGCAAGTGCAATATCAAGTGTTGTGCATTTATTGTTCAAGTGGAGACAAACTTACTCCTGCAGATGGGACATGGACAGTTCTTTAGCACAATTTGCCATGTAGGATATGAATGGGTACAGCTTAAGTAAAGAAAAATCTGCCATATGCTCTCTCTCTCTCTCTCTCTCTCTCCCTGCCATTTGATCTTATCTACACTTATTCGACAGGAGAAACTGATGATTCTACTGTTAAAGCTATACGCTCCCGACAAATGAAAAATTTTCATTTGGCATTAATGATATCTCAGGTACACTCATTAAAAATTTAATTTCATGTGTCATATCATCATATCCATGCATACTTTTCATGTGAGCTATTATAGTTAAGAAATTATATTGAACTTGTTGAGTTCAGATATATGGTTTCAAAGTTCAGGTTTTACTTGAGATTATCCATGAGTCTTCTTTCTTTGTGTTGACTGACAGTAAATAGTTTTTGACCCTTCTGTCTGATAAGTACTCTTGCTAGAACATTACTTTTGGAATTCTGACTGCATTTGATATCCCCAAAAGACTTCACTTGTAATATAACACTAGTGAACATTTAGTGCTGATGAATTTTTTTGAATGTATATATAACCAGGGGACACCAATGATGCTGATGGGGGATGAATATGGGCATAGTCGAAATGGAAATAACAACAGCTATGGACATGATACCGCTATTAACCATTTCCAGTGGGGACTGGTAAATTACTTTTTGTTATGGCTTTCATTCAGCTTTAATCTAGATGACTAGCATGGAATAATCTTTTGTCCTGGCAGTTGGAGGCACGCAACAGCAATCACTTCAGGTTTTTCAAAGAGGTGATAAAATTTCGACGAACACGTCGTGTATTTGGTCGTGATACATTTCTTGAGAAAGTAATCTCCTTTTGCCTTTGTCCTATTTCCACTTCTTTCATGCTTTAAATTTAACTTTAAGCATCCACTTCTTCTAAGACTCATTGGACACTTGTGCAGAATGACGTGACATGGCATGAAGACAACTGGCACAATTTTGAAAGCAAATTCCTTGCATTTACGTAAGGAATTACACCTATCTTCTTAGTATAATATAGATATTTGAGATACCATAAATCTGAATTTTCTTTCAAGATATTGCAAGTGGGGGCTGCGACAGTATTTTTAGTGTTCAGTGGCCTCGACATCATGATCTTGCTCATTGAATTACAAAAACAAATTCTTGAGTAATTTAGCAAGTGATCATGCTTGCTTTAAGTAGTCCATGCTTTACTTAGATGGCCATTGGTTACTGATATGGTTTGGACTTGTATGGCTGTTCCTTTTCATGATCATACATGTTTGTCTGAGCATGGGTACTTACCACATAGAAAAGCATCTGATCCTTTTCCCCTTTCTGCCAACAACACAGTGTTGGGCGTTTTTACATGACAGCTGCATAACATTTCGTGTTTTTAGCTTTTGTTGTTACAATTTCTTTTTATTTTTCTTTTCTTTCTTCCTTTGGATAAAGGCTTTTTATAATGTCCTTAAGGCAGTGAGATGCTACTTTTGCTTTTCCCTGGATTAGTTCCATACAACAATTATGAGCAGGTTTCAACAAGTGTCCTGCCATAAGATGGTGTTGAAGACCACCTTGATTGGAACTGAGGGGATACATGAAATTAGCTATGGTTTAATTGGAGTAGCCTATTATTATATTAGATTATCGATTGTCAGTCCTTATGTTCTTAGGCTTCCTTGTTGATCCAGAATCTCACTGGGATGGATCACTTTCATGCTAATTTAATTAGATCAAAATCTGTATGATTTTGTTCACAGAAGTTGACTGGCAAAAAAAATATATATATTATGATAAATCTTTGGAGATGCAGTAAGAGAAGAGGATACAAATTGACTCAACGATACTAAAAAAAGTTGGATCGATTAGAAACATGGACCTGAACTGCAAGGTTTTGAATTTGAACATGTGAAACGGATCTAAAATACGTCTGCTGAAATATTTGTTTTGCAGGTTTCATGACAATAATGGAGGAGACGTCTATATGGCATTCAATGCTCATGACTATTTTATTAAAGTTCCAATACCCGCAGCACCAGTAAAGAGGAGATGGTTTCGTGTGGTTAGTTCTTTCCCACTTCTATAGTACATAATCCCTTGTTTGCTAGATTTTGTTCACTGATAACCTGCATAGTTTGCAATGTAGAGCTTTTAAAAATCACTATAGATTGGCATTTCCGTTCAATTGAATGGATGCATCTGTTCATTTCTTCAACTCCATCATTGTTACCCATTTCCAAACAACTCCACTAACAACAAGCCTTGTTGAATTGCAGGTGGACACTAATCTTGAGTCTCCCAATGACTTCGTGCTTGATGGCGTCCCAGGCATCAAAAGCACATATAACATGGCCCCCTACTCCTCAATTCTTCTTGAAGCAAAATGATGACATAACTTCAGAAGCTGCTTTTTTCAGATGGCTTGGATTATCTGGAAGATGACTGAAAGATCCGGCTGGTTTCAAACTAAAACAAGATTTATATTTATATTTTTGAAGTCCTTGAGCTGTACAAATGCATGTTCATGTCAATGGGACTAGTAAAGTAGTTTTGAATTTAGAGTAGATCACCATGATTCCCCACCAATAAGAACAGCCAGCCTCAACCATGTATATGCAGGGAGCTATGAAAGCATGTAATTACTTCAATAATTGCAGAGAGCCCCTATGCTTAACAAACATGCTAAAGGGATCATAATATTTCTTAAGTTGTAGTCTGATATGACAGATTACATGATGATAGTGACTTACTAGAAATAAATGAGGTTCATAGTGAAACTAAATATGAACAAAATGAAGTACTTGTAACTCATTATCCGAAACTTTTTCGAATTTATTTTGGTGTATATGTAGATTACTCTAATTATCAAAGTATTGGAATAAAAGCATCTTTTTATTATTGCACCTCCCTGCTTAACTGTTGCTGACAAAAAATGAAATTTTTTTGTTTTTTTTAAGCATTATTATTATTTTGGGTTCATATATGTGATATAAGTTTGGTCTTCCACGTTGGTTTCAGATAAGAAATAATGGTGGAGGTATTTTACTGCTTCTCCTTTTTCATGATTGTAATTGATATGCATGGTGATATTGGTGGATAAAGTACCAGACAATTAGACAAGCCATCTTCATCAAGAACACTGAAGAGAGAGAATTGTCTGCTTATATTCAGAGCCAAGAATTCACTCACTCTCAGATTATGATGACAAGGTGACCATATCACCATAACGGAAACTTCTTTGTTACAGTCTACAGATACATACACTCGGCATTTTATGTGTTAATCGCTCTTATAACGTGTAATTTCTTTTTTTTTCGATGAAGAATATATACCGTGTTTCATAAGAGAGATATAGAATATACACTCTGTTTACAGCTCTCATCACGTGTATTACATAATATGAGAGAGAGAGAGAGAGAGAGAGAGAGAGAGAGAGGCAAAGCCAAAGGTTTGTAAGTTTCCCATTTGCACCATTGATCAAATTAGTCCGTAAAACTTACATTGACGTGTAAGGCTCGTAAAGATGAGTCTTCAGTCCTGCTCTCCTGCCTTAGTAAAATATTTGATCTTTCACGAAAATCTCAAAAAAGTACACAAATTTGGGTCCACATTGTGACATGCCAACTAAGCTTTTTGACGATGATGTGCCTCCTTTGGTCCCCTACTTACCTTATACCCAAAAAAAATAATTAATTAAAAAAAATATATCAAACCCTACTTCCATGAACTTCTTTTCATGTAGCTAAAGCAGCTACTAGGGTTCTATACTTTTTGTTTTTTATAGAAAAAAAGGTCACCAAAGCCTTTTTCTACGTTTTAAAAGCGTCATATGACAGATTGACATGGGCTACAGCTCCAAATTATGTTGTTGCCAGACAAGCTTATTTTCGATGAGTGGCTCTTCTTCTTTGGCTAAGAATGATTCTTCATATATACTACTACCTTTTGATGCGCCGATGTAAATATTAGTTGCTTGCTAAGCTTAAATAGTTAATAATTTCAATTCAAAATGTTTGCATTAACTAAGGGTATTTTACGGTATTTTGAATATTTTATCATTCTCTACCTTTTTATGAACTGATGGGACATTGGGGGCGTTTCATTTTCCAAATCGGAATGTTGCTTTAGTTGTTAATTAGTGTGATACGTGGATGCCGGAAACCATCAAACCTTTCTAATTGGGAATCTAATGGAACATGTACGAGGATGGTGGCCACGTACTCAAAACCCAAACAAAGCAGTTTGGTTGCATTATTGTTAGTTGCCTCGCGACATTATCATATCATGCATAATGGCATACGTTGAAATGAAACCATATTTATACAAATTGTGAACTTTATGAGACGACGACCATAGAAGGAAATTAACTAGGGTTTACAAGACTTTGCTTTGGTTTGCCCGGGCCGTCCCATTTTATAGACCTACAATTTGGTAAAACATGATTAACATAAATACTTAAGTTGTTTTTATTCTTTAATTGATCTTAATTTGATTGTAATTAATTAGATAAGGGTTTTGAGTTGAGTGTTTACGCTATGTCTCATGCATAGTTTGGTCCAAAGTCCATATAAAGTTACCAAGGTTTGACATTACTTAATCCTCATACGAATTATTCCTCCTCTTTCTTTTTAATCTCTCAACCATAAAACTCTTTTTGCCCAAAAAAAAAACCAAAGAAAAAGAACCAAAAAAACTCTCTTGGATGGCGAACACTTTAAAGAGCGGAAATAATGCTCCTCCAAAAATTAATTAAGAAGTTGAAGGAAGCCTAAAAAAGAAAAGAAAAGGAAATTGTATCGCCATTTTCAGCTAATAAAAGTAAGGTGAAAAACATAGTTACATAATGATTTGGGATTGGCATCGCCATTTTTAACAAACGGTTTTCTAAAAATTCCTGAATGTGGACGGCTGGGATTTGAGCTCCCCCATAATTTGGGCAGAAGCCCGTTTTTCGTTACACATGTACGGTGGCGCTTACACCGTCAACCGACTAACCACAAACCCCAAACCAAACCCTCCCTATATATACTCCTACTCCTCTCTTTCCCTTTCAACCCGTCTTTGTCCAAATCCCAAACCCTCCTCTCTCTCTCTCTCTCTCTATCTCTCTCTCTCTCCTTCTCACCAGCTTCACAATGGCCATGGCTCGCTCTGCTTTCGTCTTGTTCATGGTCCTGGCTCTCGTCGCCGGCTCGGCTCTGGCTCAGCAGCAGCCGCAGAACCAGGCTCAGGCTCCAACCCCAGCTAAGAACCAGGCTCAGGCTCCAACCCCAGCTAAGAACCAGGCTCAGGCTCCAACCCCAGCTAAGAACCAGGCTCAGGCTCCAACCCCAGCTAAGAACCAGGCTCAGGCTCCAACCCCAGCTAAGAACCAGGCTCAGGCTCCAACCCCAGCTAAGAACCAGGCTCAGGCTCCAACCCCAGCTAAGAACCAGGTCCTCCTCTCCAACCACCTCATCCTCCGCCCCCACCACCTCCTCCTCCGCCCCCACCACCTCGACCTCCGCCCCATCCTCCGACTCTCCATCCGGAGGCTCTCCCCCGGCACCACCCACTTCCTCGACATCGGCTTCCAGTCCGACCACCACCGACGCCACCGCCCCGGCCGGCGCGGCTACCACTCCGGCTGAGGCCCCGGCATCGCCCTCTGGAGCAGTCATGAACAGAGTCTACGCTGCCGGATATGTGGCCGCGGCCGTCATTGCGACGTCGTTTTTGGTCTAGATCTGTTGCGGCGGAGAAAGGCCTTTTTTCACGTAACCGGGAGAGAGTTGCGGCGGGCGGATCTTGAGCTTCGTTTATATTAGCGGGTAGAAAAAGAAATTTATCTAATTTTACTATTTTTGGTTTTTGATTCGAGGATGATGGTTTCATTGGTGATATTGGACGGTGTTGATTGGATGGGATGGTGGATCTAACGGCTGATTGTGATGTGATCGGCCTTATTAATCATTATTATTAATTATTAATTACTATCATTGTCATGATTGTTGTTGATGATGATGATTATGGATCAAATTCTTTTGTTATGATCTGATTCTAATCATATATATTTAATTACAGTTCGTGACTTTTTAATGTTTTCAATTAATGATTCTTGTTTTTATTCATTTGATTACGGACACCTGGAGTCAAACAGCGTTGACTCGTTAATTATTATTTTTCTGGCATTGGTTTGGTTTTGTCGTTTGGTGAACCAAAAGTAGAGCAAAGCTTCGTAGACCCACCCAACCCAAGTGCTTTGCGACATAGAGCTTTTTAAAAAGTAGAAAGAGAAAGTAGTGTTTGTCAAAAAAAATTTGCAAACAAAAGATACTTGTAGTTTGCTAGGGTTTTTTATTTGGTTCATTTAGTTTTAAACGCTCAATTAAGCCAAATTCTTGTTCAAATTCTATGAAATTTAAATTTTTATTTATTTATTTATTTAGGGTTTTGATACGTTGCATGTTTTTAGTTATAGGAAAAATTTGTAACCCTAGCAAATTACATGGACAAAACATGTTCTTCCTCATTCTTAGGATCTTAATTGCGGGTTTGATCCTAATTTTGTTGCTTAAATTTAGACCCATGCCATAAAAATTTCCACCAAATTCTGGAAAGCAAACCACAATGGGATTTTTGTTTTGAGTAATGCTATTTAGACACACAACATAAACAGCACAAAGAATTTATTTCTTCTTTTTTGGTCAAAAGAAAAAAATCCTCAAAGATTCATTGATGGGTGAAAAAGGACAACAGGTGTTGTACCAGAACAAAAGAAAAATCAGCTCAAGAAAAACAGAAACAAGAAAAAAAGGCAATGGGTGAAATAACAAGACAACTGGACCACCACGTACAATTTGGAGAGGACAGGAAAACACAAGATTGAGCTACAAAAGCGAAAGGGATAAAGATCCGGCTTTTTCCTTTGGCACTGAAACATCTCTGGAAAGCAAACCACAATGGGGTTTTTGTTTTGAGTAATGCTATTTAGATACACAACGTAAACAGCACAAAGAATTTATTTCTTCTTTTTTGGTCAAAAGAAAAAAATCATCAAAGATTCATTGATGGGTGAAAAAGGACAACAGGTGTTGTACCAGAACAAAAGAAAAATCAGCTCAAGAAAAACAGAAACAAGAAAAAAAGGCAATGGGTGAAATAACAAGACAACTGGACCACCACGTACAATTTGGAGAGGACAGGAAAACACAAGATTGAGCTACAAAAGCGAAAGGGATAAAGATCCGGCTTTTCCTTTGGCACTGAAACATCAGTTCCATCCACCTTCCGTCCACATCCCAAACTCTCAGTTTCGGGGACCACCATCAGACCAACGAAAACCTTGTCCGGGGAAAAGATGGAGGTAGGTGTCTTCCACCGATTTGAGATGTAAAAGTAAGAGACTTGATTAATCCCAATTGGGTTCAAACCAGAAAAAGAAAATCTCAATTGGGTCTATGGGTCCATTGGGCTTTAGCTCGAGCTTGGTGAGTTACAATTGGGTCCGGCCCACTTGGGTCGTGTTAGCTTTCCTAATATGACAGCCGGCACCTAATATGATGATTGTTAATGTTAGTGAAAAACACTTGAGGATGTTGTGTTGGGTACGAAAGCTTGGTGGTAATTGGAATGTTATCCTAAATTGGGCCAATAATGTCTGGTCCAACGAAGAAAGGCCTCGATTTGCAGACAACTCCCATGACACTTTGACAGTGTGAAAAAACTCCATCCCCATTCCTAATAGACAGGTTTTTAGGGGCAAGTTACTGATTTTTTTTTCTTCTTCTTCAAAACGGTTTAGACTAGGAAATAGAGTTTTTTTATTATTGGAAAAGATGCTTTATTAAAACACCATAAGAGTATACAATGGAGATGATGAAAACATCCAAAATCCAACGTGAAAGCCAAGAACCAGAGTGTGATTTTAAAAAGATTCGCGGCCTGAAATAATCACGACGAAACAAATAAAAAGAAAAAAAGAAGACTACTGCCCAAAACAATACATGAGGGACAAAAAGAACGGCTTATTTGTGAAGAATCGATCCATTCAGCCTATTTTTCTGTACTCAATCTTTTGTTATTTTTCTTTTCTTTTTCTCTTATACCCTCATGCAAAGTACAAACTAATTTAATCGACCCACAGTAATTTCAAACGCAAAGTGCATATTATTAACATCAATCAGGCTACATATATATATATTATGAACCCTAATTTTTTTTTGGTCTTTTTAAAATTGGAAAAAATAATTATAACATAAGAAACTCAAATCACCGCTAATAAAACAGGGAGAAAATAGCACTGCCTCTATCCTGGCAATATTTAGAGCAATCACCAGCCTGCCAAACTTATGAAAGAACCAACACACAAATAGCAACCCAAGTAACACAAATGCTCCACAAAGCCACAACCGGAGAGGTAGATAGACTGTTGTCTACGCCTGTTGATGAGGGTGTGGTAACTGCAGGGCTGGTAACTGCAGGGCTGGTAACTGTAGAGTTACTGCCGGAAGTAGCCGGTGAGGGTGAACCCTTGGTAGATGGTGCTGCTGTTGATCCTGACCCTACTACATTCACAGAAAGCTTCATCCCCATCCCACAATGCCCAACCACAGCACAAATGAAGTAACGAGTCCCAGCAGCCTTGAGAGGGATGGTGGTGGCTCCACTGCTATCACTTGTGATTGAATTGCCCACTGTGCATGTCTTGTAGTCACTTCCACTCACTTCATCCACTGTGTGCCCACTTCCATAGTTGAACGCTACCATGTAAAGAGAATTTGGGAAATTAGATGCGAGTCCAAAATATAAATCGAAGTAGCCAGGTAATTCTGTTTTTCCGGATATGTGACATGTTGTGTTACTAGATTGTACACATCGATCGAAACAAGAATTCACATAATCAATAAGTTACATTGACCATTTTTAATTCTCACAGCACAAATAAAAACAAGAATTCACTTGATTAATTGTCAAAAGTGACAATCTAACAACATATACATTGAAACAAGAGCTCACCTAATGAATAGACTAAATTGACCGTCTAACAAGAATTCACTTAATCAGTGATCTAGATTCACAATCTGGCAACACCAACATATGTGTTGTCTAACAAAAATTCATTTAATTAGTGATATAGATCCACAATCTGGCAACACCAACATATGTGTTGTCTAACAAGAATTCATTTAATCAGTGATCTAGATTCACAATCTGGCAACACCAACATATGTGTTGTTGATGAAGCATGTACACATGACAATTATTCTATTTTATTTTTGTTAAATGTGCATCTACAATACATGGAAGAAAATAATTAAAAGATAATTAGGATTTACCTAGGCTATCACCAACTGCAAAGGTCTTGCCACTAGTCCAAGTGCTATAATCAACACCACTAGTCCAGCCAGAGGAGTCTCCAACAGTGTAGACAGTGGCTAAGCAGCTTGGCATCATGACCATGGAAAGTACAAGGAACATGCCCACAATTGCAGCCCATGTGCCTGCCATTTTGATGAGCTAGCAACTATGAGAGATAGAGAGAGAAGAAGAAGCCTTTTGTGATAATAAAACTATAGAGTTGGAATTGCCTTATATAATGCCATGAAGGGGTTGGAGTAAGTAGAGTTTGGTCCACTTAATTCCATTGAAATGCAAAACTTCTCTCAAGAAACTCATTGCATACGGATGACTTCGGTTAGACTTCATACCTAATATGCTTGTGATAATGTGACCTTTTTTCTCTTTTCCTTCTTTTTGAATTTTTAATCTCTCCTAATAAATTAAGCTTCAAAAGTAAGAAATATGATAAATAAGGCTATCATGTAGGTAGTTATGATAGTGTTCTGTCTTTCAAACCATTGTTTAAGCACAAAGTGGACCAAATTAAAGACATGATCAAAAGGGTTGGCTTGTGAATTAAGAAAGAAGCAAAATTATACTTATAAGAGATTTTGTTTCCTCATAATCTTAGCACTATCTTTGGTTGGTTGCTCTTACATTTTGTTGTTTAGGTTAGAAAATTAGACTTTAGATTGATGCCAAAGGGAATCCAATGACCATCATAATTAGTCACCAAATGTAAACATGAAAATCTAACCCATCTTTGAATCTTTTGTTTTTCCCTTTTCAATCTTCAAGTAGAGTCCCTGTATTCATGTAGAGAGAGGATGCAATCACAATGCCACAAGCCAAAGTTAAATTGTAAAATTTTTGTGAAGTTTGAAAATTACATCAAAAGTTTCAACAAAGAAAACATTAAAGACATTTTTTTTGAGTTCAATTTCATGCGTTCTCCCTTATTTCATTCTTCTCATATCATGATATATTTTTCTCTCAAACTGAAAACTACAAATAAAAAGGTTACCAAATGAAATTACAACTAGGCGGGCTTATAAAAGCTTTTTTTCAGGCAATTATCGGCTGAGTGGTGACATGAAGTGTAATATGACCTTATAAGTGAAAAATAAAGTGATCATTAATTTTTACCAATGCAAATTTACTTCGGTGACATTTGGCCTTTATTTTGTTAGAGAAGGCTTCGAAATAATATTTGATGAACGAAAACTTGTTGAGTGGTTCGATTGATGATAAAGAAAGAGAATTTTTGATACACAGAAGTGAAACATTAATTTCATTTTTAAAGGAAAAAGAAGTTGTACATACATACATGCCACATTTTAGTTAACATGAAAAGAACGTAGACCTTACTAATGTTCTTTACTTATGTTTTGTCTTTTTAATTCTTCTAGAACTGTGCAAGTACAAATAAATTCTCAAGTGAGAATGAGACCCCTGGATAGTTTAAAGTGGGTGTGGAGATGGGAAGTCACATTCTATGAGCAAAACGGGTCACCTAACAACTGAGTAGAAGTCGTCATGTGCATGATTTTCTGTTTCTTCATGACTCATGACCCAAATGAACCCTGTGGGACCGTCTCACCACACCCCATACTTTTCCAGAGGCATGGCTTCGCAGTCTATCAGTTTGGATCTGGGTTTTGAATTGATGACTTTGGGTTTGGTAAGGGTTGTTGGGGTCCTTTGGGTTCCAACAACTGCCCTTGACAGGCACACAACTTTCGATCTGGCAAGTTCCATTCCTCACTGGAAAAGGTTAGCAAGTTCAAGAGGATCTAATCAAAGGCCTGCCATGTTTTAGTAGTTGGGACTAAACTAGAATATTTTAATTAAATTATGCAAGTTTTTGTCTGCTGTTTGGTGAATTTATAAATGCCGAAATTAAATTTATTAAATTGGATAATAATTCAACATATTATGTCTTACAAGTCTTATTTAGAGGATTAAGACTCATAAAGACGGGTTTGGACTCAACCTCAATCCAGTTCAAGCCGAGCCACAAGACGAAATCTAAAACTCTAAAATCCATATCATTCCACACAGATCCGTAAACTCTTAAATCTTAGACTCGAAGAAAGAGTGAGTCATCTGCTTTTCTTTGTTACAAACGTTCCAACTACAAACTTCAGACCTCAGTTCTGGAGAACAGTTGCCCTTAGCCAAACTTATTTATTTATTTATTTCTAGAATCACGTTGCAAGTATACTTTCAGCATGGCGTAAGAAATAGAGTAAAGTGGACAAATTCCAAAACACATCCAGAAAATTCTCTTCAGTTCAATGGCATCATTCATGGATACCTAATTCTTTGGTAAAATCTCAACGTCAATAGCACTCAGCCCTTCATTTGGTTTTTAACCTTTTCATTTTTACCACAAGGCCCATTGGATAGCTCACACTGTAATAATGTCTGCAAAAATTACACAATTCCTTTTATAGGCAAGAGGGAATTTTTTTTTTTTTTGTGTGTGGTGATCATTCGCCTAAGTTTTTGTATATGGATAATCTACTGCCTAAAAGCCATTTTCTTTTCTAACCAAGACTACATAAGAAATAAGATCCCAAAAAGGACAAAAATTAGCACTTAACCTAAAGTTTTAAACCATTCGGTGACAAGAAACAAATGATAATTACATCAAAATCATTAAGATTAACTCTAACTCAAGTTGCACTGGCATTAAAGATGAAATGACAAGGAATAAAACTAAGGTCTAAACCGTCTAATATAACTTCCACGCACGAAAAATTCATCGATCCGTATTCCATTCCTGAATTTTTTTTTTTTTTGTGATTTTAATTTTCCATTTGCATGCAAGCACTTTCATATTGTATCATAGTCAAGACATTGAAATAAATTTGTAATACATTTAGCTCAATTTATCCAAACTTGTAGCCTACGTACATAACCAGCCTCTAGAACCCCAGCAACCTTGTACAAGTACCAAAGTCATGGAATGCCCCTAAATATTAGCCCCTCAAAAGAAGGTGAGAATCTCACCAAGTGTGCATGGAAAGGAAAGTCGAAGTGAGCATACACAAATGTTCCTGCAAATGAGAGGGAGGTAGAGAGAGAATATTTAAATACTACGATGGTATCACAAAGCACAGATATCTGTTTAACAAAAATGAATGTTGCAGCTAACAAGTACTAGCATATATCATGACTGATCCTAATTATTGCAAGTTAACTGCCAAAGAATTCGACACCACTCTCCAGGTAAATCTACGAAGTTCACAAAATCATTCTTCACCCTTGTTTTCATAAGTTTGTCTACCACTATCTAGCAAGCAAATTCTTTTAGAAGATCAAGGAAATCCTATTTCTTAACTTCACTTTTCCTGAATCGCTCACCAGAGGTCCAGAACATGTCACAGCTTTCCTGTTGGTGTGGTTAACAGTTTGGAAATCCAAAGCAGAGGGATATTCTGATCTAATAAGCTTTAAGATGCACAGAGGAAGGGTAAGATGAGGTTAGCTAATATATGGCTTGGACCAGTGCAGCACTGAAGATCAACAACTAAACCAGTCAAGATGTCCTCAGATAACCTATGAAAACGTGAGAAATGCCCAAGAAAATAAAGTAATGGCATTGATAAAGGCTAAATGCGACGACCTCCATTCAACTTTGGGTCATTTACAAGTATACAATTTTACTTTCAATCTATGCAATTAAACTTTGTGGATGAAAACATTTGTTTGTTAGAGCTATCAATTTACAGTACATGTGTAATTTGTGGTAGTTTAAAGTATGCAGCAGTTACTGCAGAAATTGGGAAACATATTACAATGCATATTCTTGTGAACCAACAACTAACGCTCCAGATCACCCAAAGACCTAATTGTCCGACTAACAAAATGTTTATTAAAAAGTTACAAAATTAAAATTAAAACAGACATACCACATAAATAGCTATATTAGTTTCAAACATGAACATGACTTTAAGAGAGGACATACCTAGACAAACATGATGTGAAGAAAACACAGAAATTTCACTGTGCCCTACATTCACTTTGTATCATTGACATCTGTGTTCACTTGCTCGACAGTAGAATTCAATTCAGTAGATTCATCACCCAACTGTGAACTCTCTTCTTTTGGTACTTTAACAAATTGTTTACCACGTGCCACACGAATTCGTCTTCCCATAAGCAACTGCAGGACAAAAACATTTCTAAGGGAAATCTTCATTTCAAAATAGCCTACTGTAAATCTGTACAGAATGCAGTTGAGAAAATTACCTTCCCATGGAAAGCAGAAAGGGCTGCCTCAGCCTCTTTCTTGGATTTGAAGCCCACAAATCCATATCCTGCGGACCTTCTCGGATTACCTTGGAATACAACTTCCGCGGTAACAACACTACAATCCTCTGAATTAAAAAGCTCCTTCAGATCTTTAGACCTTGCTTCGTATGGCAAATTTTCCACATACAAATTGAAAGTTACTGGCTTGGGTTGCGAAGAAGGAGGGGGAATCTTTGTCTTTTTCGGCTTGGCATAAGCCATCTTTATAATACGACCCTCCATTTCCTATGAAGCATTCCAAATATGAGGAGATCCTTTACAATACAATATGGAAAGGAAGCAACACAAGTAATCATACATTTTCTTGCTCAAATTATAGTTGAAAAAATATAAAATTAACTTTTGTTTTCTTTATCTAGCACATTTCCAAAATTGAAAAGGCCAACATATTAACTTTTGTTTTACGTTGGTTCTTGAACTTCAAAGCTAGACACTTAACCCCTTAAACTATGATTGGTCCTTATTGTAACTTCTGTAATTTTGATTTTTTTTAAACAGTAGTGAAGAGAGTACTCACTCAGTAGCATAATGGTCAAGGGCATTATGGTCATCTTGTTCTCTAAGATTGAGCCAACAGTGGCAGCACTACCACCACTGCCTTCTTCCCTCTCCCTTTCCCTAAACCTCTTCTCACCTGCACCACTGCTATCGCTCCATTCAAACACATACCTCTTTTCATCTCCCCAAAACCTCATACAAATCTCTCCCCTTCCCTTTCTTTGCTCCTCTCTTGCTTTCTCCTCTTTTGACAATGTTCCACTCTTCATCACTCTCCTCCTAGCACTAAAGGCTCTTTACAAAAAGAAGAACAAACCCAATGGGTACCTATTTTTTATAAGGATGCAATTGACAACCAACAAGCTTCTCAGTATTTATTCATTACATTCTTTTATAAAGATTCTGGTTGTTAAGTCCATATCCATTTCTGGTTTTTACCACTCGGCAATATGCATGTCTTATGTGGTGATTACTCATAACAAACAAAAATTTTACACGAATTTTCCCCGACCAAATATAAATTTTCTTCCACTTCCAATTCCAAGCCCAAACAGTTGCTAGTGCCCCCCAATAAGTTCATATTGTCATTTGACAGGGCACCTTCACAGCCTCCGGAACAACTACAAAATTAAAATTTGCATGGTAGAAGTACAGTATACCATAGTTTCAGCTCAACCCCTTGTTCCATCAAGGCCTCCACAACTCCAACCCTTAAGCTAGAGTAGCTCTGCTTGTCAAACAAAATTTAAGGAATGTCCAACAAAAGTATGAAGATCACAAACCAATGGCAGAGGTGGAAGAAGGAAAATAAGAAAGTGAGTGAATGAGAGGCTATGGTGCTAAAGCATGCTGCCATGAGAAAGAATGATGGCACATAGATGTTTTGGCATGATGATGATAATGGAGTTAAATGGGTGTTTCCAGATGCACTAGAAGCCTCTAAGGCATTGCCATTTATGTTCTCTTGGTGACTGATTGAATGACTTTTATCCTTTACAAAGGGAGATAAGAAACAACAGATCACAATCTCAAGGAATAGGATAACAATTATGCCCTTAAATAAGTAGTCATGTTCTACTCCCATAAGATGACAGTTTAAAGTCATGCACTCAGGATACTAGTGAGTTTCTCCAATAAATTCAGCTCCAAAGCTCATACACACGGGAAATGCAATAAACATACACAAAACAAAGAACAAAATTGTTCTCTTTATAGTTTTAGAAAGCAATAAACTTTCAACACCAACAAAGCAACACAAAACAGTCATGTAGATAAGTAGAATACTAGGTCTCACTTCAGAAGAAGTACTTAATTTACTCAGGTCTTATATAGTGATAAATTTATAAAATTCACAAATTTGAACTGCTTTACCAATTAGTAGTCTTTCTCATGGACGAAACCAAGCATAAAACTCAACTTACAACAATACAAACATTCACAGAAGATAACAGAACCCAATATACTCACAGAAGATTCGAGATTGTTGAGAGCCGCAAGAGCCTCCTCCGGTGAACCCATTGTTACAAATGCCAAACCCCTGTTTCTGGTCTTGTTATACATGGCAAGCTTATCCACCACAGCAAAGAACAAACAAAAATAATCAAAACCCATCAAATAAAATCACAAATTATTAATACTCAATAACAAACAGAGGCTTCAAAGTAAAGAACAATGGAAAATGAAAACCTCAACGTCAACGACGGTGCCGTACTTCTCGAACAGAGTACGAATGTCTTCTGGAGTACAAGTCCAAGGCACATTTTGGGCAAGCAATCTTGTATCAGAGAACTCTTCGGGCTCTGCCTCCAGCACTGGGCTTTCATCAAGAGCTTGTTCTTGAGCAGTAGAGGAGAATTGTAAAACGAAGTTGCCCAGCCTTTTGGTCCGAGTTATGGAAGATGAGCGAGTGTGGTTGTGCGGGAGAGAAAGAGAGAGTGAGGAAAGAGACCCAGAAAGAGAGAGAGTGGTTGGTGTGTGCTTGGAGAGATGTTGTGGGTTTTGCAGAGAAAGTAGAGGCGTTAGATGGACTTGTTCTGTGAGGAAACAAGGATAACGAAGCAAAGCCATTGCTGTTGAGCTTTGTGACTGTTGAGCCCGAACTTTGAAGTAGGGGGGGAGTGTGCGTGTGAGTGGGGTTTTGGATAAGCGCAGTCTTTGGATTGTCAAGTGAGGAAAAAATCTGGCAGGGTGGGTGAGAACGGTGTCGTTTTAGTATCATATGATGTGTTATTTCTTTTTATTTTTTTAGGTTAAACTGTAGCAATGATCTCTCAAGTATTACCCTATTGACATTTTTCAAATTGAATTTCAATATTATGCGGTCCTTAGATTAGGATCTCCCAAGTATTATCCTATTGACATTATGCTAAATTCTTTATACGGATAATAACTCTGAAAAAGTAAAAACTCAAAAGGGGACAATAGAGACCCGGGTAGTGGCCTAATAGTAATGGATAATGCTCTAAACTACTCTTATCGATAAACAAAAATCGAAGAAAAACAATTATAAAAAAAAAGATCACAATATCCATAAAAAGAGTATAGTCGCGCGACTATACTATTTAAAACAGAAGAATTAAAAAACGACCCCAGTAAAGCCGCCCGGCTATACTCTTTTTAAATAAAAAAATCCGGAGTATAGCCGCACGGCTATACTATTTACAAAAGAATTAAAAAGACCCCAGTAAAGCCGTGCGGCTATACTCGTTTTTATTTAAAAAAATCCGAAGAATGGCCGCACGGCTGTACTATTTATTTTTAAAAAAACCCGCCTCGCCCCTAGCGCATGTTTTGCTGAAAAGAGTATAGCCGCGGCTACACTCTATAAATAGAATATTGCAACAGTATAGCCGCTCGGCTATACCCATTGAATAGCATAATCTGAATTTCTCTTTTTTAATTACTTTAATTAGTAGTTATGTTTTGATTATTATTTACTTAATGCATAATTAGTATTTAAATATGACTGGATTTGTTAGGAAATCGAGCGATTGATATCTTATAACAACTGCAAATAATATAATATAAACGCGATTGAGAACATGAAAACAAACAATCGCACACGAGTCACCGGATTTAACGTTGTTCTCGCAATTTTGAGCTACGTTTGGAAGTTGCAGAGCCGCCTAATCTCCACTTGTATCTCGCTTGAAAGTAGAAAACACCTAACCTGTTACTTCAAGCGAGAATACCAATGTCCTGACTCCTGAGTCAAATCCCATCTTCTTTGTTGAATCTTCTCCACAATTCAAACAATTCCCACTTGGAGATTGATCCGACACATAAAAAAAACCAACCAACTTTCAAGCGCTTCAAACAGAATGGAAATACGTCCAAAGCAACCTCCGTCGCCATTTTCAAGCTAGGAGACCAAACTGAAGTTGAAAACAACTTCAGTTTGTCAATAGTTGCATGATTCTGAGTTCCTTGGATCTTTGTGGATCCTCTGTCTTTACGTCTCTTTCAGTCTCTCATCAAGTCCCAAAGAATCCAACTGTTATACCCATTTCTTTTGAGCAACAACACAACTAGTTCACTGGTTGTTCCTCATCAACCACTCCAATTAACCTCTCAAAACCTTTCACACTCACACCTCCATTGTCGTCTTTGTTACTTTTCCAAATCCTAGATATTTTTTTTGTTTTTCCTTCTTACATTCCTTCATACATGTTTTGCTATTTTGCTTGTTCGTTTCTAATTTATTTTATTTTATTGTTGATGATGTACATGTTAAAGAGGCACTAATGCCTAACAAAACGCCAGTCATAGATGTTTTACTGTCGTCAATATACCCGTCATGCTCTTAAAGCATATATTCTTTCTAGTTTAGAATTTGGCAATAACCAAAAAGCTACCCTGTATACATGCTTGTGTCTGTGTGTATTCTCTCTTGCTAGTGTAGAAGGATGCCAATAACCAAAATGGTAAAATATATGTGTGTATGTGGGTAACTATATTGGATTCCAGAACAAGATGAAGCCAAGACACAAACAACCATATAACAAGTTAGAAAACAACTGATATTTGCCACTTCATAGTATAGTTATAAATCTCTTTCCACAATCACTTCACAAAAGGAAACCATTCCTATTTCTGTTTTCTATGCAGTAGAAAAACAACACAAAAAAGAAAAAGAAAAAGGAAACTTGTCTTGTCTACTTTATATCCAAGCGGCAAGTCTTAAAACGATGATGGAAGCTTTCCAGAGTACTGTGGCAATGAGCATGGGAAGAACCTGTACATCTTTCCCCACTTCAACTCCTCAATGGAAATATGTTGTCTTCCCAAGTTTTCAAGGTGATCATACCAGAAAGCATTTCACAGCTTCCCATACATCTTTCCCCCCTTCATTACAATAGACAGAGGAACAAAAGTTGTGCATACTGTCATTACAATAGACAGAGGAACATCCCCTTGAGCAATTAAGGTAGGCTATTTCATAAAAAGCATTGAATGGAGTTGAATAAATGGGCTAGGCGGTCTAGGCGGTGCTGGCGCCTAGAAGAAAAAAAGGTCATTTTGGAACGCCGAGGTCTGAGATGACGATGGTGCTATGAGGCGAGAGAGAGAGAGAAACGAAGATTGAAGAAGAAGGGAGGTTATGTTTAGGGTTTAGAAAAGGGCCTGGGCGAGAGAAAACCGAGTACAGCCGACCGGCTATACTATTTTTACCTAAAAAATCAGAAAAAACCGAATATTGTCGTGTGGTTATACTGTTTAAAATTTTTTTGTAACAATCCCCAGTTGGATTGTTTTCCCTAGTACATGATGTGCATCATCATATGTATCTCCCCTTGGATACTGATACATGGACACAGTGGATATGGATAAGTGGATATGACGGAACCTGGGGCATACCTTAACGGGGTGTCGCTGTAGACCCTTAATTGGGTAGTCTGCGCGCGTAGGGCTGTTCCAAGCGTACGGGTCTTGATTCTTCGTTCGTATGTGCTGGGTTAGAGTGTCAGTCCCCCAGTTGGACGGCTCATCCCTAGCCACATGGTCTTTGAGGGCGGTTTACATGTGGTTAGTCAACAATCCCCTGTTGGATTGTTGTCCCATGGTACATGATGATATATATACAGTCCCGATCTCTTGGACCACAGGAGTCCAAGAGATTGTGGTCATCCACCGTTGGATATTAATCCAATGGTTTAAAAAAGTTTCTTAAAAGGAGTGCAAGAGTGAGTGAACCGTTGAATTTATATCCAACGGTGAGTGACCACAAATCTCTTGGACCCCTGTAGTCCAAGAGATCAGGACTGTATATATATTCATTTATAGGCATACATATTTCGTATATGTGTAGGTGGTTTTGATTCTGGATTGAGATTCGTGAGATTGTACTTTGTGAGTACCCTGTACTTGTATGAACGTTTAAGTCGTGGATTGGAAAGTGTTACAGCAACATACGCCTTGGATAGGGTATGGTTGCGAGATTGAACGGTTATAAAGGGAAGAAATTGATAATGTGTTCAATGCACATACGCCTTGGATATGGTATGGTTGCGGGATTGAACTGATATAAAGGAAGAGATTGAGAATGTGTTCATTGTGTTTTGTCGAATTGGAATTGTGATAGATCTGAAATGTATCGTTGGTTGTATTTTAAATAATTTGTATATTATCGGGGTTGTGACTGTTGAGATAAGAACTACGTGTGGCTTGATCCCTTGTCCTAGGGTACGTAGGTAGCCTGGGGTCTCACCTAGGTGCAGCTACGAAATATACTATGTTTACAAAGTTTGATCAATTCTGAGTTTGAGTATTGATTTTGAGGTGGTTATTGGATGTGAGTCCTAATTATTATTGTTGGGTTCGGTTTTGAAAATGTTGGTATGCCTGAAGCTTGATTTAAGCTTGAGTGAGATCAAATGCTTGTTTATTCCTCAGTTATCACTTGAATGAATTCTATTAAACAGTGTACATGGTTCTGACAGGTCTAAGGACCTTTTCGAAGTAAACGATTTGATTTTTAGGTTCGGGTATTTTGTATAACTGCTAGTGGTTTTGCCTTGATTTTATTTGGAGGTTGGATGCCTATTCCGTAACTGTGTGCATTACTTTGTGTGTGCTGCCTGTTGGGATATAAACTGTGATTCTTTTTTAGGTTAAAAATTTGGGAAAAGTCAAATTTACAGGGGAGACTCTGCCAAATTTTTGGCAGAAAGTCTCGGTTCTTAGTAAGTGGGTCCGGAATCAGTATGATGTCGGAATTTCCACAGGACTCGTCTCGGGTTCCGAGGAATTCGAGGCGGGTCCTGTCATAAATAAATAAGAAAAAACTGTCTATAGCCACAAAAAGAGGCCCTCTTTACAACTTAAAAGTTAGATCACTATATTCTCTCAAAAAAAGTTAGATCACTATATAATATTTTAATATTTATTATTTGTATAATACGTTAATTTTGTGTCTTATTGAAACTTTTGTTAAAAATACGTGTATTCCATATAAAAATGCGTACGTACATGCACACTATTAAACGTAAAAGTGCTAAATTCTTTGTATGGATAATTACTCTGGGTGTCTAAACTACTCTTATCGATAAATGAAAATTGGGGAAAAATATTCAAAAGAAAAAAAGGATCCCAGTAAAGTACTTATTATCGTTTGGGCGTCTTAACTAAATTTCTCCACATCCCAAGAGCCCCAAGGAAAAAAGGAATGCCTTGCGCCCAATCAGAAGGGTATAGCCGCCCGGCTGTACTAGTTTTTTATAATAAAAAACCGTAGTATAGCCGTGTGGCTATACCATTTATTAAAAAAACACCTTTCTATTTGCATTAGTTTATACTTCATAGATATTAATTTGCTAGCTTCGATATATATACTTTATAGATTTAAATTTTTTAATATATTTTTCCCATACATCTTTCCCCCCTTCAACTCAATGGAAATATGATGTCTTCTTGAGTTTTAGAGGTCATGACACCCCGAAGTGTCTCAGAGCTTCCTGTACATCTTCCTTCCCTTCCAATCATCAATGGAAATATGATGTCTTTCAATCATCAATGGAAATATGATGTCTTTCTGAGTTTTTAGAGGTGATGACACCCGGAAGCGATTCACAAACCACTTATACACTGCATTGGAAAGTCATGGAATAATAACTTTCAAGGATGACCCTGAACTTCAAAAAAGGAAACCTATTTCTCCAGAACTGTTTAGTGCAATTGAAGAATCGAGGTTTGCACTCATTGTTCTATCAGAAAATTATGCATCGTCAACATGGTGTTTGGATGAACTTTTGCATATTCTTGAATTCATGGAAGCAAGAGAAACAGTGCTACCAATTTTCTACAATGTCGATCCCTCTGATGTGCGAAAGCAAACAGGGAGTTTGACACAAGCCTTCATTAGACATGAAGAAAAATTTAAGGATGACAAAAAGAAGGTGCAAAGATAGAGATATGGTTTAACAAAAGTGGCAAATTTCTCTGGATGGGATTCAAAGGGCTGGTAACATTTCACGTTTTGATTTTGTTTTCAACGTCCGTTTTCTTATTTGATGATTTATATATACACATAGTTAGTGTGACTTCTGTTTGAGGAAAGGAAATAGACCCAATTATATTTGCAAGTTTAAGTGCAAGAACTACGAATGGTTGCTAAATTGCATAACTTAACAATAGCTGTTTTTCTTTTTGGTAAATATTATAATACAAGTAACAAGGGACATAGGAAATATGACCCACCTGCAGCTATAAATGCCATTCGAAACAATTCAAACTCTAGCTTCATATTAAAATGCACAGCATACATTGATGTGTAATTAATGAGCTTTGGCTTGATTAAGGTCCCATGAGATAACTAGTGAAATGTATCACATATTTTGTTTTGGGAACTGTTATTGGCACTCCAGAAAGGTCATCGTGCAGTCATCCCTTATATTTTTAGAAAGGAGGAAAATGAGTGCATGTTGAATTTTTCGCCCAACATTATTAAGTCTTGTGGATGACTTTGTTGGAATTGATTCAAGATTGAAACCAATTATCAATTTGTGTTTAGATGCAAGGGTGGATGACGTTTGCTTCATTGGGATATGGGGGATGGGCGGTATTGGCAAGACAACTATTGTGAGATCTATTTACGAGAGAATCTCTTATGAATTTGAATTCAAAATATTTCTTGCCAATGTTAACCACACTTACCAAACCATTATAGTGCTTTGTTTATAAACACCTTTATAAGAGTGAATTTTCAATGTGGGATTTTCACAAAGGGCACCTCAGAAGATAAGCCTACAGAGAAATCCATATTTTTTTATTTTTTATTTTTTGGATGAAAAGAGAAATCCATATTTTGATTGTTGGTGCAATGTGGAAATATGTTTAAAGAGTATAGCCGCATGACTATACTGTTTGAATAGAAAATTTTAATTACTATTTATTGAGTAATATAATTCACGTGTTATATAACTAAGGGAAAATTGTAGAGAGAATTGGAAAGAAGAGAAAGACAATATAAATTGTTCAATCAACTTGTATCTCTCATCTTGATAAGACCTCTTATTTATAGGCTTATAATGGTAAGACCTTAACAACTCATAAGTTACAAGCCCATTACTATGGTATTTAGTATATAGGTTACATAGAATTAGAAAGGGTGAATGCTAAGAGGTATGGTGGTCATCCACCAACTCATGCATTTACAACACTCCCCCTTGGATGTCTACCATACAATTGACATAGTTGCCTCATTAAAAACCTTGCTTGGAAAACACAGTGGGACAAAACCTAAGCAAAGGGAAAAAGAGTGCAACATTCTTATGGATCATTGATATGGTGTTGGACGCGCTTATACTGCCTCGTTAAAACCTTGATAGGAAAAACCCGGTGGGAAAAAAAACTTAGTCCAAGGAAAAAAAGTACAGCGCGCATATGTCCTATATGTAGAAAATTGTAGAATCCTCCACCTGATGAATTACTCCCCCTGATGAGGACAAACTTGAATTTTTTTCAAGATACAACACAAATATATTGATATCTCATTTTCCTCCGACAAAGCAAGCTTTGGTAATGCTTTGTATAAAAACTTCTTAAATATCATCACTGGAGGATGTATGTGTGTCATTCCTTTGGATCCTTGTTGAGATTAGAGTAATACCAAAAATATCTAGACTATTTTCACAAATCCTTTCACATAACATCATATTCTATAATACCATCAAAATAATAATATAAGCAAACTCATACGTTACCGTTACGAGGACAAGAGTATAAAATTGCATGCTGTAATAAGCTATTCATATAAATTTTTGTATACTATGCTAGCATGTCATAGGCTCTTCAAGAGACCTAAATATTTTGATAACATCTTTAAAAATTTGAATACGTTGCAACGATATTGAACTTGATCTCGAACTCATACTTCAATCAAAGTACCCACTGAGGCAATTAGATCACTTTCATTTCAAGACATTTGAATACATACATTGAGCTTCGGGCTCATTAACTTCTTAGAAATTTTCTTTCAATAATTTAAATAATGTATGACATTTTACATCTTTCAGAATTTATTCCTATGTATTATTCCCGCAAACAGCTGCTGATATATACCTGCAAATTAAGACTCTCCTTGATCAAAAAAGACTCCTCAAATTGCACATTTGCACCGCAAAAACTGCAAAACAAACTAAACAAACAGGCCCAGCCCCACAACCTTAAAGAATATTTGTACGAGTGCAAACTCTGCCAACAATGCTCGTATACAAAACTAGCTTCTATCTTCATATGTCAAATTCAAATCCACAGAGACAAAGAAGATTGAATATATACTTTCTTACTGCAATAGCTTTTATGGCTATTAAGTCATAATGACAGCAAACTATAGTTTCTCAACTGTTGCTTACAAATTATGAATACTTCGTTTTTTCAAAGTATAGTTAACTTCACTCTATAATTTATATATCAAACTTGACAGAAGCTAAATCAAACAGCAATAATACACTAATACAAGGCTACACTACACCAGAACATATCATTTACGGCGCACAAAGCACGCCGTAAAGTGTCATTCGCGACGCAAGGCTGCAAGCAGTAAAAGCCCTCGTCGTAAATGATGTTCCTCAATTACGACATGTTTTTCCAGTCGCAAATAATCTCACGAAAAACACGCCGTAAACCTTATTAAGGCGTGCATATAACGTCGTTATAATTACTTTAGACGGCTTGCATAGTGAGCCGTAATTCAGTAGAAGTAATTACGACATGCAGTGTTTGTCGTAAATGAAGACTATTGATTAGCAATTACGGCTTATTATGTATGCCGTGATAGGATTTTTTTTTTTTTTTTTTTTTTTTTTTTAATAAAAAATCTCATGTTGATTTTATCATGTCATTCAATACCTGTTACCTGTTAAACCACTCAAAATTTATAAAACCATTGCCATCTAACCCAGTATTAAAGAAATAGATATCGAACAAGAATGAGATTAATGAAGGCATTAAACTCCATGTGCTTGGATTAATCAATAGAAATTTTCAAATACAAAAACATAACATTTGATTGAGATGAACTGAAGCACCTAATGTCAATAGAGCCATACAAAAAAGACCAAGCAATTTCCATAGATGCTAAGCAGCAGCGAGTGCAGAGGCTAACGCTCCCAGCCCTAGTGTTAGTAGTTGATCATTTCCTCTCAACAAACCAGCTTCTTGCTGAAACATCACCCAGAAAAAATAATGAAAATACATGAGTAAATGCACTCGAAAATTACTGAGCAATCTGTTAGTAGTTGACCATTACTAAGCAATCTGCTATTCTTAATCCATAAAAAAAAAAAAAAAAGGTAAGCAAATTCATACTTACAAAGATCAGCAAAACATCAACAACATAATGATTACCTCCATCAACAGCTAGTCGAAGGTGATGAACTTGATTGGCCATGCAGGGTCTTGCATCCATAGCTACTCTTTCAATGGCAGCAAATCCAGCTGCCTGTGGAATAGGAAGAAAGAAAGTTTGATAAAACTCGCTTAGATTCAGAAACCACTAGTACTTGCAAATGAAGCTCGGCAGGAACTATTGGATAGAATATATGTAAAGCCAATATAAGATTAGTAGATGGATAATAGTAGGAACTGACTTAATCAGAAAGTTAGAGGTGCAAGTAAAGTAGGGCATAAGAGTCGAGGCTTAATGCGTAAGAAAAAATGGAAACAACAAGAAATAGAAAGTAACTGTGAAAATAAAATAATTATAACTCAATTGGAGATGTCTTCGAACCATAGCTGCATCAGTAATACACATGTCAGATCCCCAAAACATTCATAACCATCTGACTATCCAAACTGAAAGATAACAAAAGCAGCAAGTCTGTGTTAGGCGAGATGCAGTTGAATGACTCGAGGCTAATTTGGGTTTCCTATGCTCATTTTAAAAACAGATATCTTTAAAGAAATCGTGTTGCTCACTTTTTTGCTCTGCTAATCGGCCTTGTTGAATCACCCAGGCATCAAGAGCAAGCTTTTTTATAAGCCCTCTCAATCACTTTCTCCTCAATAGTATATATACTGTTTGAAAATGAAAATCATGGTTTGATGAAGAACTACATAATGCCAGCAATGCATAGCTGGAAACGTATCATCTCAGGGCACAATTAATACCAATCACTATCATAAAGAATGACAATATCTGCAGTCGCAAGATTAATACCAAGTCCTCCAGCTACTGCCCCAAGAGTTGTGCATACCGTTATTACAATAGACAGAGGAACATCCCCAATTAAGGTCACCTGAAAGGCGCTATTTCATAAAGAGCATTGAACGGAGTTGAATAAATGGCCTAGGCGGGCGCTAGGCGGGCTAGGCGGGGGCTAGGCGGTCTAGGCGGGCGCTGGCGCCTAGAAGAAAAAAAATGGTCATTTTGGAACTCCAAGGTCTGCGACGAGATGACGACGGCGCTAGGCGGGCTAGGCGGGGGCTAGGCGGGCTAGGCGGTCGCTGGCGCCTAGAAGAAAAAAAATCGTCATTTTGGAACTCCAAGGTCTGCGACGAGATGACGATGGTGCTATGAGGAGAGAGAGAGAGAGAGAGAGAGAGAGAGAAACGAGGATTGAAGAAGAAGAGAGGCTGCGAGTTATGTTTAGGGTTTAGAAATGGGCCTGGGCGAGAGAAAACCGAGTACAGCCGACCGGCTATACTATTTTCACCTAAAAAATCAGAAAATACCGAATCTAGCCGTGCGGCTATACTGTTTTGTTTTGTTTTTTTGTTTTTAAATGAAAAAACTGAGTATAGCTGCAAAAAGAGGACCTCTTTACAACTTAAAAGTTAGATCACTATATAATATTTTAATATCATAGTGCTTTGTTTATAAATACCTTTATAGGAGTGTGGATTTTCGATGTGGGATTTTCGCAATGGGCAACTCAAAAGATAAACCTACCGAGAAATCCATATTTTTATTGTTGGTGCAATGTGGAAATATATTTAAAGAGTTAGCCGAAGCTTCCATCTATTATATGCTCTGTCAGTGCTTGTAACTGTAATTCTTTGGAAACATCTGATCTAGGCATGGTTAAACTTTTTGCCAAAAGTTTCAAACATGTGGAGAAGCAACGCAGCTATACGAGTCCGGAATTTACTGGTCCAAGATGTGACGTTGGTTAGGTCCGCCACAAGAACAGCCAAATAAGATGTGAATTTGCATTTCCTGGAAATGAAATTCCAGAGTGGTGGCCGTCCAATGATGAAAGCAGAGTGGGAATTTCGTCAGTAAGTGTAAAGCTGCATCCAGGTTGGTTTACTGATCCTAAGTGGTGGGATTTGCACTCTGTGTTGTCGTTGCACGCTCGGATCATTATATTTTCCGTGGCTTTCTGAGATTAAATGGAAGATCTGAAAGAGGGTACTTTTTCAGCAATGTTAAAGTTGAGTCAGGCCACGTTTGATGAGTGGCTGAATATGTGCACCGAGCTTGAATTTTCATTTTACGTCATATACGCAGAGATGAACATGTTTGGGGTCCGTGTCGTATACAAGGAAGATAAGGAGCAGAGCAGCACCTGCATCAACGTTGGCATCTGTTAATAGCTTGTGAAAGAAATAGTTCATATGTTGTTTACATTTATCTTGTTAGAGTTCAGCTACGTGTATAATTAAAAAGTAATAAATAAAAATTTTAACAAAACCAAACCATGTTGGTACGCAGATTTTTCAGATGAGATGCCCACCCCTAGAGATGGCAACGGGGCAGGCCGCGACCAAATATTTCATTCCTATCTGCAGATCAACAAGGACCCCTATCGGGTAAATGGTGCTCCAATAACTATTTTCTTCATCTTAATAAAATAAATGAATGAAAATTATAACTTCGTACATGTAATGTAAGGTGCGAGAACACAAAAATTTCAACAGGATAATGCATGAGATGAACATGCTTGAGAGCTAGATGAACACATATACCATACAAATCTAAGCTGAGCTTTTCCCTTCATATCACCTAGGCTGTTGCGCTTTCAGTCTGTTCCTCTGCACTTGCTGCGTGCGCTATGAATGGTGGAGCGGCAACCTCTCTCGTCTTATCTTCTGTTTATTCCCCGTAAATCTCCTCTTCTTATCTTTTATCGACATCGTATAGAAAATTAATAGAACAGTTTCTCTTGCTTCCATGCATTCAAGAATCTGCAAAAGTTCAGCCAAGCACCATTTTGATGATGCATAATTTTCTGAGAGCACAATGAGAGCAAACCTCGATTCTTCAATTGCAGTAAAAAGTTCTGGAGAAATAGCTTTCCCTTTTTGAAGTTCAGGCTCATCCGTGAAACTTTTTATTCCATGAAGTTCCAGTGCAGTGTGTAAGTGATCTGTAAAACGCTTTCGAGTGTCATCACCTCTAAAACTTCAAAGGACATCATATTTCCATTGAGAAGTGAAAGATGAAAATGTGGCTTCCATGGTCATGGCCACGTAAACCTACTTTCTAGCGCGTTTATGACAATTTATTGGGGATTCTGTCATAGGACCACAATCCAGGATGATGATAGTCGTTATTTCTTTTTTGACAATACATCACCAACAGTAACATTATAAACGGTTGAGCAAAAATATGTTCATAACCTTCAGGGCACGTTTGGCTGTTGGCATTCGGATTTTAATTGAGATTTCAAATGTTGGGTGAAGGGATTGATAGTTGGGTTGGAATATGTTTTTTGCCGGAACAATAGTCACCGGCGATGTGAAATAGGAGCTCCGAGAGAGATTTCACCGGAAGAGCTTAAAATCCTATCAAAGCTTGAAATCCTAAATACTTTGCAGATTTGAATTGTTTGCCCAACCAATCAAATTATTTGTCTGTTTATCATCATGCGCATGTCGCTGCTGCATTCGTGATCAAATATCATACATGCCTTTCAAAGTCAAATTTCAGATGATCTTAAAAATATTTATGTGAAATATGTTCCTTCCAAAGACTGCCTCCTATGCATTGTCGTCTTTCTAAGAATTTTAAAAAAGAAAAACCACAAACAATACAAGAAGTGAAAAGAAAAGGAGAACAATGCCCATCCATTCACTAAAAAGACTTAGCAAATGATTCTTACCCAAAAAAAAAAATTGTTAGTCGTTCCAAATTCTGTAATCTCAAGTCATATGCTATCCTCAATACACAAAAGGTACAAATCAGACTGTTGGAAAAAATTTCTTTTACTTCTTATGGTTTCTAGAGTTAGGCGAGTTACAACGCAAGGGTGAAAGGGGCTGTCTTGCTGGTTCTTGGTCACTGAAATCAATCTTCGCTTGAATCGGGCTGCTCATCTTCGAGCTTGATTTTCGCTTATTCGACTGCAAAGAAGAAACCATAATATTAGTTAGATCCAACAATCATGATGAGCTTCTCAGAGAATTGTATATATATACACTATAAACTTAACATAGAAATCAAAGCTAATTTTTTTCCCTTCGTCTCACCTTTGCTGATGCACTGTCATTATGTTTTCCGCCTGAACCAGACTGGTTTCTTTCCTTGTGGTACTGCCTCAGTAATCTTTTGTTCTCCACATCTAGCACTTTGTTCTCTTCAAAAAGCAATTTGACCTACGTACATAAAAAATGCGGGATATCATTTACCCAATATAGGGTCTGTGGCATCTTGAAGACAGAGATAAAGGACAGAACAGGGGGAAAAAAACAAAGTTTTCTCACCTCTTCTTCAGCAGTACAAAGATTCATCGTTAGATGTTCCTTATCCTTCTCAAGTGTCTTTACCTTGGCCACCAGTGACAGAACTTTTTGAGTCGATGGCCTCAAGCTACCACATAGACGAGGAAATATTTAAGTCATGGCTCAATTTAGAAATCAGAGATTAACATTCAGATACAGGCAGTTACTCTCAATCTAGAGTCTGCTAAAAAATACATTCTAATTCTAACCAACAACTCCACCATCTCGGTATAAACTCACCGGTTCCACATTTTTAGCAACATTTGACATGACTCGTTTCCACTATTGGCCTCCAGAAATGCAGGTGCAGGCACAGCTTCATCTTTACTGATCAATGTTGCTAAAACAGACTCCAGTAGTTTCTCTCCAATGGTTGTGTCATCAGAAGATGAATCAACCTTCAACATCAAAATGTTTATCAGCATTCAAAACATAATTACATAAATGTACTGTACTATTGTTCTTCCACATGCTTCAAAAGAACTGACCAAGATAAAACCAAAAATCACAAGTTCTATTCACACTTTCTGTAGGTGGAATGTGTGCACATGTATGTGTGATTAAGATTCACTTAATCGCTGCAAAAGTAACATTTTCACCCACCTTGTCTCCTTGGATACAAAACTAAATGATGGCATCAGCCATAATTAAACTTTTTGGATGCATAAAGCTGGAAAAATATTAACCAGAAAAAGGAAAACTAACTAAGGTAACGGGCTATTCACACCATAAATCCCATTCCCCACAAATACGCAAATGCACTTGCAAGTCTCACAAACCCATCATAGTACAAGTCTAAAAAATAATGAATATTAACCAGAAAAGGCCCAAATTCATTTTCTTTCAATTCATCAAAAGTAAATAACATAACAAAAACTAAAACGGTTGAAGAAATTACCGAATGCATCTCTAATTTGTGCTTGTAGAACCCCAATTCATCCCTTAACTCTTTGACTTCGTTCTCCAACTCTTGAACACGAATCTCAGCCTCCTTGGCACGCTGGTCAGCCTCGTTCCCAAAATCCATCAAAGCCTCCCGGTCGTGATCGTAGAGCGAACACTCTCTCTCCCATTTGTTGCACTGAGTCACTAGATGCGCGCACTCTGACGCCAATCTCTGATTCTCCTCAACGAACTTCCTCAAAGCTTGTGCATTCATACTCGCTTCAGCCTAATAACGAAACCATAAAAAAACCAAAAACGCAAAAAGAAAACAATTATCGATACAATTATACGAATATGTAAATACACGAACCCTAGCGCGCTCGAGGACTTGATCTTTCTCCTTCATTTTTGCGAGTAGAACAGAGTACTGGTTCTGAAGCCGCTGCTTCGATTCTTCCGAGCATCGAAGCTTCAATTCGAGCGTGTGCGTGGACACAGGGAGGCCCAAGGAGTGATCGATCGATTCTTTGATATAATCGTCGATTTTTTGCGGAAGATCCATTCTTTTTTGGTTGCTCGATCTTAGAAAATCCTAGACTGGCGAATCCCCTAGGAAATGCAAAAAAATTCAGATTTGTTTTAGGGTTTGATTGAAGGATCAGAGCGCGGGTACTGGTAATCAATCTGGACTCGAATTGAAACCCTAGAAATGCTGATAGCGATTCGAATTCGCGAGGCGTGGGGATTTGGGATTTTGGTCTGAAATGGAGAGGAGGGGTTTATCTGGGCTGTCTTTCGCTTCTTTCTGCTTTCTTTTGGCTTTTCGAATTTTAGTCTGCAAGATTTCAAATTTAAGGGCGCTATCCGTTAGAGCTTGTTTATACAGGAAGGGCACCAAATAAGTGGCGCCCCTGATGGATCCACGTGGCAAACGAAACGGAAACTACATATCAATCACCCAAAAAAGGATGCAACACCATGAATATGATGGTGTCACCATCCATATTTCTAAAGCCACCTTC